ATTAACAAATCTACTGCTGATACGATACTTAAGAAAATGTTTTGACTATGCAAGTGTGTTAATACAATCACTAGTAATCCTTTGTTGCCTTTGTTAAATGAATCTCATTTCTATCATTCATACAAAATTGCACTCTAAGTTAATTACCTACCGAGCTTACTGTTTGTTCAACGCTCATTAATACCACACCACTTTTTAATGATTATTTATCATTCCACTTTCACTAAAAATATGTTTCAAATGCATACAACCTGCTTCTAGTAATTTGTATTCTTTCTCTCTCTCTCTCTCTCTCTCTATATATATATATATATATATATATATATATATATAGAAAACGAGGAACGTTTCCGATCCTACGCCACCATGTTTATCATCATCAAAATGAAAATGAATTCATCACCACCAACATCTACGCTTGCAATTGATAGCAACGATCAAATTTTTAATAAAGTTACTGAGCCAACTTGTATACCCATTTCTATACCAAATACTAAAAATTCCGCATCCATTTCTCGTGCTCCTCTTCTTCATTCTTCTCCTTCATCGATAACACATACTTTATCGGAAAATCCTCAAATCAGACAGCGTAATGTTACTACGATTACTACTGCTACTACTACTACTACTACTACTACTACTACTACTACTACTACTACTACCACTATCACAATTAATAGCAATATTATACCAGGTACTACTGGTTCAAAGGTGCTCAGATCAAAATCACATCGTCTATCAGTGGTTAAAAAGTAAGCCTATGAATTAATAATTTAATTGTCAAATAAATCATACACATAAATTACATATCTATTATAATTACGACATATTTAACTATAATCAGAGAGGGATTTTGTGGATATTACAGCAATTTGATTATTGGATTCATGAGTCAATCGAAGTTGAACCACTATAGAAAACCTGGTAGCACTAGATAGACGTTTCGTTCTAGTATGAGACTCCTCAGTAGCGCGCATCCACGATCCTGCCTCGCGAGTTCGCACCCAGGACCTGTCAGTCTAGTGGTTAAGCGCTCGGGAGCGGAACTAATAGGTTCAGGGTTCGAATCTCGCGAGGCAGGATCGTAGATGCACACTGCTAAGGAATTCCATACTAGGACGAAACGGCCATCTAGTGCTCCCAGGTTTTCTATAGTGGTCTAACTTCAATTGACTCATGAATTCAACAATTAAATTAATATTTAACTATACTTTCCGTTGTGTAAACTGGTCCTGAGCAAATATCATTACAGTTAATGTGTAAATTTCTCTGTTGAAATGATTTATATTCAACTGTTGCCTCGTAATTTTTCAATCCACAAATAGTATTTTAATTTCATATTTCGATTTTGGCTCTGAACTTCTTTTCTCTCAAATAGTGTTAGGTATTTTGTTTTCTAAGAAAACTTTTTAAAACTAGTTTATACATTCTTTTTATTCATATGTGATATGTAGTCATTCTACTCATATTTTGTTGACAGATTAATTACCAAGTAGGTGAGTTATGTATGCAATATAAGACTTGACATACTTGGTAAAGTAGAACAAAATAACGAAAAAATACATGTCTTGTCACCTGTCTATAGCTACGCAAATTTAGTTAATGCAGTTAGTAAACTCAATGCAAAGTTCTTTTTCAGCCGAACTTGTACTTTTAGCCAATAACTTTTGATCCAGCCACGAATGTCGAGAAAGCTGAAGGTTTATTTCTTTTCCAACCGATAATACAGAAGGAAAGGCGTATGTATTTATAAAAAGTTTTCGACGTTCCTTCGAGAATAAGCCGGTTAGCATACAAGCTTCATAAGGCCTTATTCAATAATGCGTAAAAGGTTTAAGTTCAAAATGGCAATTATTATGAAATTTTGTCGTGGCAGAACAGGGAATATTTTTATTCAATCTTTATACTGATTGCGTTTCCCGACAATATTTTAAAGCAAAAGAGGAAAAACCAACGATATTTAGTAAAAGTTTTTTCTGGTTGAGGATATTTAAGATTTTAAGACAAATAAACTGATTAGGTGATTTTACGTCGTACGATAGGTATTTCTGTGTTTAGTTCACTTAGATTTATGCTATTTATAACATTTACTCATCGTATTCCACTCTTCTGACTTGACACAAACTGATGGGTCTCACTTTATCTTCATGAAACTACAAGTGTCGCAAATTGCCAAATATCTACTAAGATTTTATTGATCACCATTAAGTCAAATCTTCAGATAACTGAAGTTCAAAGTCTGAACATTACTATCACCACTGTATTCTTCTGACCAAGCTAGTCGTAAAGGTATTTCTCTAGTAGCATGAATTACATAGTGTTTATAAAGGACTTATGAATAAAGTCAAACACTCGAATTTATGAATTTGCACACGCTCATCGTAACCACTCCATACCCACCATTGAGAATGTTACATTTAAGTTATTATCGTCAATATATCGATTAATGGTTTTGAAAATTTTAAGTTGCCACCTTTTAAAATGTTCGTTCTTCATTAAACTTATGTTTCCCTAACACTTTCCATCATTTAAGGGCAATTTATATCACTAACTGACATCAGGTAGAAAACCACTGAAAATAGTAAAACGTCGACCGTTTGTATCGTCATAGGTTTGGATACCACAACAGTTCACATCTACGATTTTGTATTCGATCAAACTCAAAACCTTCCATTCTCATCAAATACATAATATCTTTCCACAGTTGTCTCTAAATTTAGATGTTCGGTTATTAAAATTCAGTACATTTGTCATATAATAAACAATATGTGCAACCAATAGCATTAGGTTAGTTTCTGTCTTATTTTCAATGTAGTTGACTCCACATATCATGACTTCAGACAATGTTAGTTTATAATTGTACACACTCTTCATCAAACCATCTTAATAGACTATGACTATAATTTCTACTAACTTCTATATGCATATTCCTACTTATAACTAGTTTATCTATGAGATACTTGTCAAAATGATGTAAATTGTTTGAAGTAAAATTTTTCTGTTTAATACTATTTAGATTAACACAACTGAAAACGATATAATTAAACAAGTTTCATAAAAGGTTGTACAATTTAATTTATTCAAATTCATTTAACCGTGAACAATTCTTGTTCTTATCTGTGCTGATTGTTTTATTATGGTAAAGGAATGACTTCACACCCTTGTTACATCGACTATGGTAAAAGATTGTTGAGTGTTTTATTTAAGTTTTAATCGGAATAATTGTATACATGAATATACTTACTGTTTAGACGTTTTTACAAAAGTTTGTTGTAATTACTATTTACAATTACTGTAATTTAAATGAAATTTTAATTTAAGGCAAAGTACAATTAAGTTATGTGTACTTTAGTAGATAATAAGGTTTCAGGAAAACAATTAGTTAGTTTTATGAAAAAAAGGAACCGATCATCTGATTTCCTTAAAAATTATATTTGCCATAAGCCTAGTCTTGATATCGTTACAATTTATACCCTATTACCAACTTTCGTCACATTATTATTATTATTATTATCGTCACACTTGTGTTTCTCCTAATTCCTGCTTGCTATTGTCATTTCTCTTCCACAATCGAAGTATTTCATTGTCAATGAAATTGTATTGCTTTTAGTTACTGTAGTATTAGTTATAGTCAGCTGTTTCTTTTTCCATTTTTTTCAACTGAAAGCTTTCAACCTTATATTGAATGTTTTAAAATTTATTTCAAAGGAAATCATTGTATAATAATAATAATAGTTATGTTATTCTTTGTCTGGCCTAATTGATCTACGTAATTAACTTATTAAGTTTAATAACTGAATGTTTGTTTGTGAATAACCTTTAGCAAAGGTGTAATTAGTTTATAATTTTATGTACTATCAGTTGACCAGGCTTTAAATATTCATGAGATGACATGGCTGGTTCATGTATTGTATATGCACAATCACCGCCTACCTCGATGTGTGGTACTGGCGTAAGCATAGGTTGAAAGCTGGGGACGGGAAAATCAAGAAGTAAGATTAGTCCATGAAGTTGTTGACTACTAGTCTGAACCATCATCATAGCTGTAGACCATTACTACTGGTTGACTGAGTCCTAAGGTTGTTAGTCAACAGTGTTCTTCTAGTTCATTAACTCACTTGTCTTTGTTCTAAACAAGTACAATTTTCTTGATTGAATTTTTCGACAAAATCAATATTGATTATTGATGAATTTATCTTTTCATCATGCAGATGGACCCACCTTTTAATATTCTTACAGATCTTAAACGTATTACTATTCATTGTTTACCTGCTTCTTCGGTTTATGAAATCATGAACCGATTTAATTTAAACCAACATTAAAAGCTGAAAGCACTGGACTGTAGTTTAATCTTAGTATGGGATTCTTCAGCAGTGTGCATTCACGATTCTGCGCGCAGGATTCGGACCCACAACCTTCGTTTTTGTGCACAAATACTTAGTCTCTCGACCACTGAGCCGGCATCTACCTGTGTTAAGCCGCAACCTCAATCAATCTGCGACATCGCGCGACCATTTTCGATTGTCTTATGTTGCTAATATCTTCAATTTCCTTCATCCTAATTTTCTATTTATTAAACTCAATTTTCTGTTCTCATTTGAATTGTGGCTTATTGAACTAATTTGTATTCTTGCTTTTTAATTCCGTTCATTTAACATCCTAGCAACCGGAGATATTTTACTGACTAGTATTTGGTCGGTGATAATGAAGAGATTGGAAGTTAAGCTACTACTGAAGAACTGGTTCGCCATTTGACGTCTTACTTTTTGTTTAATCAACCTCGTAGTAAAAATGTATCATTTACGCCATTGTAATTCTATACTTATTTTGCTTGTATCTATGCTATTTGTCATTCTGATTAAATTCAATATGGTTTCCGTACTTCTTCGCCTTATAGCTATAACTTTTCTCATATGCATATATTTTCATCACACAAATCTATATGTGTTTATCTGAATGATTAAAATCCTGATCTCTGTTTATTTTTACTTTCTTAACAGATCTCATCCATGGATGCGTTATACATTTTGTTCACTGACAGTATTTTTGATTTATTGGCTTTTTAATGGTTTTCTATTGGGTCTAACTGTTGGTTGTATACTAACATATACATTCATTACAGTGTATAATTATTTGCATAGTCGTACAAACTATTCTAATCAAATTCTCTGTCCAATATCAGGATTGCCATTAGATCACTTATGCTGTTCACTGCATTATCGACAAGAACAAGAGGGCCAGTATCAAGGCTCACAATGGTGGCCAATCTATTCACCTGCTATGCCAAATTTAACTAACAACGCGAACAGTACTAATAAATGTATGCAGTTAAGAAATTTGCCTAATTTCACTGTACCAAATATGCTTGAAGAAGATGTTAACAAATCAACTATCTCAGGTCCATTGGGAAATAGTTTAGGTTTTAAATATGACAATAATGGACGGCCCGTATACAAAGGATGGTTAAATGAGGTAGGTTATTAGAAGAAAATAAAGACTATCATTTTAATCAAATCATAATAAATGTCCTAGTTCTTTAATTTATAGTCGCTTTAAAGCTCATGAAAAACATGTATTCACTACTGATAAATTTTAAATTAGATAAGTGTTCTTTTGATATACTGGCACATTCAACTTTGAAGTGTCATCAATGAAATAATACGTTTCATAGAAAGAAAGAATAAATGAATAGTCTCTTATTTTTTAGAAAAAAAAAATCTCAATGTGTATGTGTAACTAGACATCATCAGTATATGCTATAAAAGCTCCTATTGCTATCAATTTAAAATAAGCTACAAACAATAATAATCACTTGTTACGATAAATCTAACAATTAATTTCATTGTGATAGAAAATCATAGTTTTGCTTTTCAGGGAAATAATCATTAATAAATTAAGAAAACAAATTTGTCCTGATGTGATAACTAATATTCTTAATTTATTTCACCATCAGTTGTTGGTAATCTCGTTACTGATGTTGTGTAACTTCCCATCGTTTATATTCAGGACTACAACTGATCATTCTCTGTCCTCATATATTTGTGGTGGATGGATTGTTTCGATATGGATTTATATTTAGTATGTGGTTGGCAGTGGAATTCAGTACGCGGTATTCAGCCTTTTTGGTAGTCATCAATCGGATATACTCTCATTACATTGTTGATCTCTACATTGACACTCAAATTCAGTACCTGTCACTTCGAACCCTTGACATAATGATATATCGAGATAACTCACTCACTAAATGACCCACCTCAACTTATTTTTCTGTTGTCTAGTGTTCAAACTCATCTAATCATAAACTAACTCGGCGATCAACAAATACCTGTTCATATTTTAGACTTAGGTATAGATTTTATCGTGAAAATTGATGATTCTAAATGGAACATGATTAGTGCTTGCGACTTAATAACTGAAACATTGACCTTAACAACTGTATTGATTTCATGCACATAGTTTCCTTTATCAGCTTAAAGAGAGCAAAAATAAAACGTTGAGCAGTATATCATGAGCTCATTTTATTTCCTTTGATTCTCGTCAACTGCTTAAAACCTGTAACATTTAAAAATTGCTTAATGGGTTTAAATTATTTACAGTAAGAAGTTTTTTTAGAAGTTTGAATGATCGATACAGAGGTAGTGGCAATAGATTCTTGACTAGCCTAATAAACGCTAATCAATTAATAGCTTAATAAAAATAATGCTGCTAAACATGAACTGAGCAAGTCGATATGATTCCTAATCTTTGGAAAAAAATTCCATTAGTTTATTTACATTTGTACTACATACGTCAATAGACAATTGTTTACGTTTGAATGCTGGCAGTGGTGCCAGGGAAGTCCTACTCACTGCCTTCTCGTGGAGGGGATGTTGTTTGCGAAATTGTGAGGACGAAAAGCGAATGTCCGGCACTTTAACCGGGTTGGTGAATACGGAGGATCCACCTAGGGGAGTTGGAAAACCCTGATTCCAAATCAATAGTGCACATGGGCTCTAGTATCCTGAAGGAACAAATGGCGTATGAACCAATCGTTGGTCACCGGCTACCATGGGACTGCATCTCCTGACGTTGCTCCACTGCCTCATGGACTAGACATTCAGGTCAATGGCCCGGGTGTGACCTACTAAGAAAACCACCTACTACGGTTCGGACATCCGGGTATTATCCCAGCCCTCACACAAATCGAATGATAAAGTGTGACGCTCACATATTTGAACCTCCTTGTGTCAATATTTATATTTTTAAATAAACAAATGAAGTAAGTACGAAGTATTTATCTGTTTTTTCCCTTAATAAAGTTGTCATATACCTTCTATAACAAATAGTATGTGTATCTTTTTTTTCTATAGATTATTCATTATGATCCTGAAACTCATCATATTGGCAAAACATTTTCCGTCTTCCTCACGCTTGATGGTACACAATTACGCCTACAACGCCCAGAACATAATATTACTCGTAGATCTTTATGGAATGATGAAATCCCATCAACTACAACTATGCGATTCAAACAACAGCATATTTATGATTTAGCTAATGCAACTGTTACACTCCTTCCATGTGGCTTAGTCGGTAAACGTCTATGGAGTAGAAAATATCCTATTTGTATCACCGTCTACACTGAAGGTAGATTCAAGGTAAATGCTAAAATGAGAGTTATGTTTATCAATAATTGGTCTTTTGTTGTAAATTGTTTTTCGTACATATTACGTCACACGTTGCTTTATGTCAATCAGTCGTGTACAACGTAAAACCTGTCACATAGGGAGATACAATTATTTCAAGGCAAATACCAGAGTAGTAGAAGTAGTAACAGCATCAGTAGCAATATAATAAATTAGGCATAGAAAAAAGGGTCTAAGGAGGTTTCATGACTCAGGGGAAGATAAAGATTGAATGCATCTGCACCATGTCATTTCAAAGTCTCCAATCACTGGTTATAATAATCATGTCGACCCCAACCAGGTAGTCTACACCTACTCACATGGCTAAGTTCACTTGCCAGTGACTTCATGGACTGGCGCCATATCTTGGTTTAACCGACCCTAGTTTTCTCCCAGCCTACTCCTAGATCAGATAACATCGCTCTTCGAGCTAGCATGTGGTTTGGCATATGAAACACATGTCCCAACTACATTAGTTGACGAAAATCTACTGCGTCATCAACCAATTCGCCATCTTCATTTAGTACCTTATGCCTAACCTTAAGATTCCTCACTCATTGGTCCGAAAATGCGCAAATAATGCTTTGAAGTTACTGATATTCGACTACCGGTAACCCACGAACATTCTATATTCTCAAGGGCCATATTTCACATCTTTAAATTAGAACAAACCGAACTGTTTTGTGTTGACTCGTCCTTTGGTTGGTAGATAAAATCTGGCCAAGGCTTTACAGAATATATTTTTTACGAACTTACTGTATACTATATTGTATATCAGTTTCTCTGACCATATCACTTTATTTCAAAGTATTTCGCTTTTGTTTGTATGTAACTTTATTGTCAGTACCTGTTCGCCTTGTTTGGATCTTAGAGACTTTTTCACTTTAATTCTCAATTACTCGACTAAAGAACGTTTGAAAATCATCTTAGCCATGTTTTATTTTGAAATGTATTTCGTAACAGTTAATAGAAACATGGTGATATTAGAGAGGTTTTGATAACTACATCTCTAGACCCAACAGTTAGGGACTTATTTATGTAATTTTTCATAGCTTTATTTATGTTATCAATAGATGTATTGTGATTGTGGAAAGAAGCCTTGTGGATTCAGGTTTCAGAAATGAGACAGCTATTTCCCAAACTAGAGGGAATTTTTACTGCATACTGTAAAACCTAAAAATGTTGCGTCAGAAAATAACTCATAAATGCATCAGGGTAGTTTGATTTCTTCCAATGTATTCTTTTATTTTTCAATTTACTAGTTTCTTTGTCTATAAATTATGATTTGTAGGTTATTTTTATTTGGTCTGGTGTTGGTAGTTTCAGGGAATAACTTCTGATCATGCTATGACTAAGAATAGCCATGCACAAATAATCCTGTCAGCTACATTCCTTCACTTTCCTTCATCATTGAAATGATGTTGTTTTCTGACTTGGCATTCAAATATTCCATTACAAAGTACGTATGTTATAATGAAAACAATATGAATTTGTAAACTGTAAATCACAACGTCCTACTCACTACCTTCTCGTGGCGGGGGCGTTATTTACAAAAATGAGAGGACGAAAAGCGAATGTCCGGCGCTTTAACCGAATTCTAAACCAATGGTCACATGGGCTCCAGTATCCTGTGGGAACAAATGGTGTATGAACCAATCGTTGGTCACCGGCTACCATGGGACTGCATCTCCTTACGATGCTCCACTGCCTTGTGGGTCAGACCTTTAGGTCAAATGCTCGGGGAGTGGCCCCCTGAGAAAACCACCTGCTTCGGTTTGGGCACCCGAGTAGTATCACAGCCCTCACACATATCGAGTAAGATTTGTGTGGCGCACATGTATTTGGTGTCTTCTTGTACCAATATCTATGTGTTTAAATAATAAAAATAATAATAATAACCCGTGTTTACATTATGATTTGTTTGTTTTAATGAAAAATACATTCTGCTTTTTTTCTACAGCGCAAAAATGAAAGACTTGATTCACTACCATCATCGACAAGCTTTCCAAATATCATATTATCTACTAGCTCTAATATAGCAGTGAATGAATCCTCTGACTTGTCCGTGGATACATCTATCCCATCAGCTGGAGATATGGAGTTCCCCGATGATACTAGTATCAATGTATTGCAAACTTCAAGCAAATCAAATATGAAAAATTTATATTTGTTTGGAAGAACATGTCGCGAAAAAGAAACATGGTACCGTAGATTGAAAGCTGCCTCATTGGGCACACCTCTTATATGGACACCTCAGATGGTAAGAAAATATTTTTTTAGGTATATTGCAAATTGACAATTTTTTATCAATCACACTGACCAGGTGACGTAATAATACCTTCAAAAAAAGTTCCGAGACCACATTTTTGAAATTACATTTTGTGGTGTTTTAAGAATGTTTGTAAATGTGACTGAGTAATGAAATTACATTATGTCACAAATTGAGATAAGCTGAAACAAATTTTTCGTCTAATGTTCAGTTACAAAGTCTAAATTGCATTATTTTCTACTGAAACTGATCACTGTGTTCTACTTTAAAATACTTGTTATTCTGTGTGACGCATGCCTAGCATAAGTATAAGTTGGTAAAATTTTAATGGCATACAACTGTAATTTCGATCTAATAAGTTGAACTCGCATGTCATTTTGCTTTCTGAATTTCCTAGATGATTTTTGTTTTGTTAATCAATCAAATTATCTCAAATATTCTAGAACTATCAGTCCAAGCAATTACAAAAGCCCCATTAAAACCTTGATGCCTAAATTCTTCCACATTGTGAACGGATTATTAGATAATGACTGACAATTCATTTTCCAGCAATAACAGTTTAAACTTAGACATTGATATTGTTGGATTACCAACTCAGTGGTCTAGAGATTAAGTGCCCGTGAATGTGACCGAAGGTCCTGGGTCCGATTCCTGAGCGCAGGTTCGTGGATACACACTACTGAGTCCCATGCTACGACAAGGAGGTCGTCTAGTGCTTCCAGGTTTCCCATGGTGGGCTAACATTGTTCGGTTCATAATTTAAATGAAATAACAATTTTGTTTACATTCACCAAATTGAACTATTAACTGGATCATTACTTACTTACTTACTTACTTACGCCTGTTACTCCTCGTGAAGGAGCATAGGCCGCTCACCAGCATTCTCCATCCAACCCTGTCCTGGGCAATCCTTTCTAGCTCCGTCCAGTTGTAATTCATCCTTTTCATATCTGCTTCTATTATCCGACGCAATGTGTTCTTTGGCCTTCCTCTTTTTCGCTTCCCTTCAGGATTCCAAGTTAGGGCTTGCCTCGTGATGCAGTTTGACGATTTGCGTAATGTATGTCCTATCCATTTCCATCGTCTTTTCCTAATTTCTTCTTCAGCTGGAAGTTGGTTTGTTCTCTCCCACAGAAGGCTATTGCTGATGGTATCCGGCCAATGGATGTTGAGTATCTTGCGTAGACAGCTATTTATAAATACTTGTACCTTCTTGATGATGGTTGTTGTAGTTCTCCAAGTTTCAGCTCCATACAGTAGAACTGCCTTGACGTTCGTATTGAAGATTCTCACTTTGATATTGGTTGAAAGTTGTTTTGAGTTCCATATGTTCTTCAATTGTAGGAATGCGACCCTTGCTTTGCCGATCCTCGCCTTTACGTCTGCATCTGAACCTCCTTGTTCATCGATGATGCTTCCTAGGTATGTGAAGGACTCTACATCTTCCAGAGTTTCGCCATCAAGAGTGATTGGATTGCTGTTTTCCGCTTTGAATTTGAGGACCTTGGTTTTCCCTTTGTGTATGCTGAGGCCTACTGATGCAGAGACTGCTGCTACACTGGCTGTCTTCATCTGCATCTGTTCTTGTGTATGTGATAGGAGGGCTAGGTCATCTGCGAAGTCCAAATCGTCTAATTGATTCTGAGCTGTCCATTGTATTCCGTGTTTTCCTTCAGATGTCGAGGTCTTCATAATCCAGTCGACCACCAGAAGAAAGAGGAAGGGAGAGAGTAAACAGCCTTGTCTGACTCCAGTCCTTACTTGGAATGCATCTGTCAGCTGTCCTCCATGCACTACTTTGCACTGTAGTCCGTCGTATGAGTTCCGGATAATGTTGACAATCTTCTCAGGAACTCCGTAGTGTCGAAGAAGTTTCCATAATGTCCTCCTATCTACACTGTCGAATGCCTTTTCATAATCAATGAAGTTGATGTATAGTGATGAGTTCCACTCAACTGATTGTTCGACGATGATCCGTAGTGTTGCAATTTGGTCTGTGCACGACCGATCCTTACGGAATCCAGCTTGTTGATCTCGAAGTTGGGCGTCTACTGCATCCTTCATCCGGTTCAGCAACACTCTGTTGAAGACTTTCCCTGGTATTGACAGTAGTGTAATGCCTCTGTAGTTTTCACATTTGCTCAGATCTCCTTTCTTTGGAATCTTGACGAGGTGTCCTTCTTTCCAGTCCATCGGCACTTGTTCCTCCTCCCAAATCTTTTTGAATAGAAGGTAAGCATGCTTGTGGTTGCTTCGATGTCTGATTTCAGTGCTTCAGCTGGTATGTTGTCGGGTCCTGCTGCTTTCCCGTTCTTGATTTGTCTGACGGCCATTCTAATTTCTTCCGTCGTTGGTGGGTTGACATCTATAGGAAGATCTGTGTGTGCTGCTTCGATGTCCGGTGGATTCATTGGAGCCGGCCTATTCAGGAGTTCCTCGAAGTATTCTACCCATCTGTTACGCTGTTGTTGAATTTCGGTGATTGGCTTGCCTTCTTTGTCTTTGACCGGCCTCTCTGGTTTACTGTATTTCCCTGCTAGTTTCTTCGTTGTATCGTAAAGCTGTTTCATATTTCCTTCTCTAGCAGCTTTTTCTGCCGTCGTTGCTAGTTCTTCCACGTATTTCTTCTTGTCGGCTCTAATGCTCTTCTTCACTTGTTTGTTTGCTTCTATGTATTCAGCTTGTGCTTGGACTTTCTCTGCTCGTGTTCGGCTGTTGTTAATTGCTGCCTTCTTGTTCTTCCTTTCTTTGATCTTGTCCAGTGTTTCTATAGAGATCCATTCCTTATGATGGTGTTTCTTTAGGCCCAGAACCTCTTGACACGTTGAAGTTAATGCTTCCTTGATGCCTTTCCAGTTGTCCTCCATAGTAGTTTCTTCTTCTTCAGTAGATCTTGTAAGGCTTGAAACCTGTTGTTGAGAGCTATCTTGAATTCATTGAGTTTGTCAGTATCTCGAAGGAAGGCTGTATTGAACCTTTGTAGTGCTGTTCGTCCAGTTCTTCTTTAGCTTCAGTTTTAAATTGGCCACCTCCCGGTAATGATCTGAAGCTATGTCAGCTCTTCTCCTGGTTCTCACATTGATCTATCTGGTTCTCTGTGGTGTGGTCCGGTGAGATCCATGTAGCTTTGTGTATACGTTTGTGTGGAAATATTGTGCCTCCTATGACCAATTTGTTGAATGCACACAGATTTGCAAATCTTTCCCCATTTCCGTTTTTCTCTCTCAGTCCATGCTGTTCCATGATATCTTCATATCCAGTGTTGTCTATTCCAACTTTGGCATTTAGATCTCCCATCAAAATGGTGAGGTCCTTTGTTGGGCACTTCTCTATGATTGATTGCAGCCGCTCGTAGAATTGATCTTTGATGTCGTCTTTGCTATCATTGGTGGGTGCATAACACTGGATAATATTCATTGTGATCCCCTCCTTCTTTGTTTTGAATGATGCTTTGATGATTCTGGATCCGTGAGATTCCCACCCTACAAGTGCATTTTGTGCCACTTTGGACAGCATTAGAGCAACTCCCTGAGTGTGCGGAGCATTGTCCTCTTCGTGACCAGAGTATAGCAGCATCTCTCCCGTAGCTAGCCTTTTCTGTCCAGCTTGAGTCCAGTGGGTTTCGCTGATTCCCAGTACTGCTAAGTTGTATCTCCTCATTTCCATTGCTATTTGACTGGTCTTCCCGGTTTCCAACATTGTTCGAACGTTCCATGTACCTATAAAAATTTTTGCTCTAGTTGTTAGAAGGGGCATCGGCCTCGTGGCTTCCGAAGGAACTCGGCTTTCACCATGAAGCGTCATAATTCTTCTAACTGAAGACCTTCTAACTCCCAGGGCAGAGTTAAAATGGTTTGGATTATTTTTTCTGGTAAGCGTTTTTTTAGCGAGTTAGTTTTCTACGGGATGGGGTCGCTAACCCCATGCCCAACCCTCCTCCTTTACCCGGGCTTGGGACCGGCAGTAACCCTATAAGAGCTACAGGCGGAGTTTAGCTGGATCATTAGCCATGAGTAATTCTAAGCCTAGCAATTTTGTTTTATTCCTCCAACGAATTCCGATCTTGACCATGTCTTTGGATTTATAGTTGAAGAACCTGATGAGAACTTATCGAGAAGAATATTCTTCATATATATATATATATATATATATATATATATATATATATATATATATATATATATATATATATCGAGTTCTTTTTGTAATGTGATTGGGATTTTTCAAAAAGAAAGCCCCAATCGGTACTAGGAACAGTTGCTTTCATTATATGTAGATTGGTTTCATTAGTCACTGCATCATCAATGCTCACATAATCACTTTCAGTTTTCGTTCCTCACATCTAATTCGTTGATAACACCACGTAATGGTGAAGCTTTATGTACTGTTAAATAAATTATTTTCACGTTTTGTTTAACCCCAATTTTTATCAGTAATCTATTGAGGTATCTTTCAATTGTGAAATTCATGATCATGGTGGTTTGGCGGATAAATATTCTAAAGATCAAACGTAAATCTATTTTTACGACTATTATGGTTACTGCAATTTTTCTGTAAATTATAACATGCCCACTATACTGGGCCATACAATAATTAATCCTGTAACACCAAGTTATTCTTTTGATATTGTTAGAGTGAATGTTTTTTAATAATGATTTTTCATTTTTCAGTATTGAACTTTATTACATTGTTTTTATAAACTTGATGGTTAAATCAACTCGTCCGTTTCCCTCTTATTTGTTTGTAGGCTGTACAACATTATCTTTTGGCATCAGATATTAATAATAGTAATAATAACGTTGGTTTACCGGATTATTTAAGTGGTACTGCCACAGCAGCTTCTAATATCATTTCTAATCACAACGACAGCACATTGAGTGACGATGAGAGTCAACCTGATGGAAATACATTATCGAATCTGATAACATGTTCTGATTCAGCTGCCAGTATCGCTAATACTGATGTTGTTACCACTATTACTACTACTATTAGTAGTAATAATAGCAATAGTACTCCCACCGGTTTAAGCAGTACAGCCAATACTAATAGCACTTATTCATCCAGCATAAATCTTTCAAATTATGGCGCTTCAATACCTGGGAATCGTGAACCAGTATATGTTTCATATGTCCGATATATGGCTAAATTTATGCCTGCCAATTGGCTTGTACGAAGTGCACAAGCATTAAAATTAAATGTTAATCAAATTAATTGTGATACAAATATGATATGGCTTAATGCATTAATTGGTCGTTTGCTATGGGATTTTCTTCGTGAACCTTATTGGTTAGAAAAGATAAAAAATAAGATTCAAGCAAAGTTGAAAAAAATACATGTAAGTAGTGTGGATCTGTATTTTGACATTTTCTCATTATTTCAGTTGCCTATTTTTTTTAACCTCTAACATAATTGATGTAGTTGTGAATCATCACAAATTAACATTGATAGATTATTAATAGTGCTCTGTGAAGATGGAATCATCGAAGTTCTTCTATAAGGTTTAATTTAATAGTAAGAATGAAAATTAATTGGTAACGTTTATCGATAGTTGTCCTCCATTAAATTGTTATTAAAAGTCCTAATTTGTATTTTGTCTTTTGTAACGGAAAGTATAATCTCTAATTGGAAAGCCTTAGTATCTTAGATTCGTCTCTAAGAGCGGTAGACGTCAGTGTTGACTGTAAGAAATCATTAAGTAATACGATATAGAAAGAAACAATGTGTTCTAACCTTTTCCAATTTGTATATGCAAATATTGTAATGCTAGTTTTTCCTTGTTTCTAAGCGTTGGACAACTTGGTTAGTGATATATTGGAATAGTATATCTCTTTTCTCTTCCCTCAGGATATTTAATGAGACTTGAACCTTTTTATTATTATCGTGTTAAAAACCGATCAATGTTAGACTACCATTGAAAACCTGAAAGTATTGGACGACCGTTTCATCCTAGTGTGGAACAAGCATATTTTGGCGTCCTATTCTAGGACGAAACGGCCATCCAGTGCTTCCAGGTTTTCAATGGTGGTCAAACATTCATCGGTTCATAATTTTAATGAAACTTGACGACCCTCACAACCCTATACTAACAAAGATATATTCCACCGAATTATTATACAGAATAATGTTAATGCTTGGGAAATTTATATATAGGAATTTTACATGTTAACAAATAGTTTTTAAACTCATTCTATTTTTTGTTTTATCTCTGTCCAAAAATATCATAGCTTCCAAATTTCATCAATGAACTCACTGTCGTTGATATTGATTTGGGCTCAGAAATACCTGTACTAAGACGTATCGGATGTCCTTATCTGGATGCACATGGTCTATGGATTGAAGTGGATGTTGGTTATGCTGGAGGGTTCTCATTTGCTTTGGAAACAAGTGTAAGTAAATTAAACAAAAGAAAGCAACTTTGGGAGTAATAATTTTTAAAATTACATTTTTCAGTGAATGTAAAAAGTTTAAAATCTCATACTCCACACCAATTTACCTGTGCATCAGTTCAACATACGAGTTATCTCATTTGACACAAACTCCCCTTATTCTGTTTCATGTATAATTCTTCTCCTAAGGAATTTTTATGAACATCTTGACGTGTGCTTCCAAAAAATTGACATAATGAAAGCCGATGTTAAGGTGTTTGATGTGGTTGGCCAATAAAAAGTGTCTATTTAGAGTAATTGTAAAAGTTATGCTAAACTAGTGGTGTGCGAAAGCTCCAGAAACCAATGTACAAATTCACTCTGGTCACCAACTACACGTGACGTTTCACTTTTTTATGTATTATATTTTTAATTCACTGTGTCGGATTCCAAAACAAAAGCATTTGGTTGAGCTTATGTGCGCGGATATTATCACACAGATGCATGGCCGTGTGTGTTTGCTCCCTTATGTCTTCTGAATGCTAGGCCTAAATACTGACCATAAGATTAGTTTGTTTGGATTAAACTTAGCTACCTCTTATACCATTTGACGTAATAGTCGTTTATGTTATTAATTTTTATCGGAAATTTAATTTCTGGTGCTATCCTTTACTACATACTGTTCCAGACTGTTCGGAACTGAGTTATAAAAAAGGAACATGAACTGCAATTATTATTATTATTATTATTATTATTATTATTATTATTATTATTATTATTTTGTTTCATTAACGTGTGTTTCGAGTAATCTGTATTGGATAGTTATGTTGATAACTTCCGGACTCGTACTATGTTTTGATTATTTTCTGTCCGGATTTCGGGGATTCTTAGTTTTTAGAAAGTCATTAGTTTCTTAATTCGATATTTAGAGATTACCTAATTAAGCATGTGTAGATTGATTTGTTAGTCAACATTTCACTTTTTGATATTAATTTCATTATGATTCAATGATCAGTTTGCATAAAATATTATTTAGTAATTTATCTTAACAAAGTAATTATTCCTTCGACAGTATTTATCACGGATCAGTGTCAGTATTATTATCATGAGCCCACTAGTTACTTATTTCAAGAGAAGTCCTTGCAGTTCTAATAGGAAGTCGTAGCCGGTGGATTCCAGTGATTAAATGATCGTTGCTTCATGTAGCAAACTGTACTAAAAGAGAAATATGTTTTATTGAACGTCTACAAAATTGTTTAATTGTTTGCCGCTTGTTACGAGTTCTTAAATTGAATGAACGCTGCTGATGAGTTCCACAACAGGTTCAGTCCCAGTGTTGTATATTTGGATTTTTTGAGGTTTATCGTGCTAGGTATTTGCAATAAACTGCCGTGTAACTCCTTTGATCAATACATATAAATCACGCAGTTTACCTCTGACTGACCTTGGAGAATTGTAAGTCGTTGGATACACGTAACTCAGGATCATTTTCAAATACACCTTTCATAAATCACTCGCCTCTTCAAGATAATATATTCCTTAGCTTTGGCTAAATATTTATTAGAAAAATTTGAGGATTTTGAAATTATTATTTCTTCTTTTGAGTCCCATAATTTACGATTACTATGCACTAGATTTCATGTTGAGAAAACCATTTACAAAGTTGAGGCTTTGAGCCACACTTTTATTGTATGTAAATAATGTTGGTCCTACACAGCTCTCCAAGTTAAAGTTGGTGGAAGGTTGTTCGAACAAAGGATTCAGTGGTTATAGGTCGAATGCTTTAAACACAGCCATGATAACTAAAACAAATTTGTTTAAACTTAGGGTACATAATGCACATATAAATGTCTGTATTTACTCAATGAGAGATATGTGTCTTAACTATATTAGGACGTACTTTTATTTCATTAGTTCGTGTGAGTTCTATTCATTTTACGTCGATTTATGAGGTTGAACAGTATTTCAACCCATTTTATACATTGATTGGTTCTTTTTAATTACCAAGGGGCATCGATCTCTTCATAAATACCAACGTAACAGTAAATCAATAATATATTAGTAAACAATGTTAACATGGGGTCTACATTCACAACGTATTGATAATAGCCTATTATATATATACCATGTTGTATCTTGAGTTAATAACAATTTCCTGTTAATTTTCTCAACAAACAAATTGTTTCATACTCTTTATCTCTGAAGATAAATGACAGCTATATAAGTGAGAGTAGGAGAAACAAAATATCTAGATTTGTATGCATGAGAATTTAATGTGTTAGTAGGATATTTTATTTTTCACTATTCTCTCAGCTCTTCCCAAGTCGTTATTTTGTGTCTTCACCTATAATTGTTATAAGCCTATCGATTTGTGTGCATTGTGCATGTGCATGGCTGTGAGTGTCTTCAACAAACAATTAATAAAATTTGTAAAACCTATTGTGTCATGTAAACTGTGAGTTTTTAACGTCCTATATATGGTTCTTGTTCCTACCCTACTAATTATTATTATTATTATTATTATTATTATTATTATTATTATTATTATTAATGTACTTGATACTTTGACCAGCATATAATGTTAGGATAATATGAAGGAAAAATTCCGTACCTGAACTTATTTTGTATCCTTTTGTCATAACTTAATAACTATTTGTTTACTTATTCCCTAACTATGCATTACGTTCAATATTTATGATGTAGATTGTTTTTGTTAATCTATTGAACGTAGCACCTAGTTTTAGCGAGTTTCACACCCATTGATTGATATTAATCACCACTGAAATGGTCTTTCACTTAATTGGTCATTGTGTGATATAGTGGAATTCTGTTGGTTGTAGTAGGTGTCCTTCGATTCTAGTTATTAACTCTCTTTAAGTTGATCAACCCTATCTTACATAGATGAACACATACTTCTTTAAGATCTCCATTCTACTTTTCAAATCATAAAATAAACCCAACACTTGACTAAAGGCTTAGAATAGAAGTGCAGCCACCAAGTATTTGTATGATCAAAAGCTAAACGTGATTATTTCTCTTTTAAGGGTTAAATTCATAAATTTAAATTACTTTGCATCTATTTCAATGTATACAACTGGATAATATCATTAGCAATCACAGCTGTAGTATATTCGAAAGGTGAGGACATGAACATGTACTTTGTAAACAAGCTACATTGACATTTGTTTCTAAATTAACTAGGGTTACTAACTGATTAACTAGAGTAGAGCACCTAATATAAATAAAGCAGGGATATGAACCTAACTTTTCAAAATGAAGTGTTTAAGTCACTCATCCACAGTTTTAAATGAATCGTATTACTTCTTAATGTGTAATTAAGTATCATCTATTTATCAAAGCTGACTCAATTCGAACTAATATTTATTTATTTTTAATATTCTTCAGTGTTGGATGCTTCGATAATTCACTACATATTTTTTTGTTTGTTTAATATTTTTTATTTAGGTCAATTTAATGCGGTGGAATCAAAAACTTCGTGAAGAAAAAGATATTACCTATTCATCAGGTTCGGTCGTTTATTTATCTTTTTTCTAAACGAGATTTGTTCTATTTTTAAATAAAAGTTATGTTTCAAAAGTGAAATTTCGTAGCATAGCATTAAGCTTTGTGGTATAGTACTATGATCGCTTCTCTTAAGCGTGGTTGGTACTACTGTCCATAAAAATGTTATACTTTGTAATTTACGTTGAGGACGACATGATTTCTGTAACCAATCGTTTGATATTTCAGGTGAAATGACTGAGAATCATTCTGAATGGCTCAGGTGCGTTCACTCTTTTTCATCTCTTAAGTCCTGAGTTTCAAAATTTTCTTGTATTTTTCAATCACATGGACTAATTCTTTCCCAAATCATACCATTTGTAGCTATCTTTTTCCTGCTACTCATATTGTCAATAATTCTATTTCTCTGCGATTTGTCTTGATTATTTCAAATTGTTGTGTTAATTTAGTGTGACAGCATGAACCAATGTACATGTTTAACGGGTTCTACGTTTCATATGGCTAACTGACTTATTTTTATTGTATAGAATTTGATTTATTGATAAAGACTACTGATACAATAGCTCTGAGCGTTTTTGTGAAATACTCTGTAATTAATTTTTTTATCAGTCTCCCCTAATTCCAATGATAAAGTTGCAAATATAAGGTACTTTTGTCTTTTCAATGAACTATTGTTTTGTTTGATTTTGTCATCGATATTTTCCAAAAGCGTTCGGATTAATAATAATAATAATCTCCCCCTAAACATGTCAAAAAATGTAGCTGCATCTATCAGTAACGGTATACTTGCTATTGATTCTATGTACTTTGCAATGAAAGTTCCACTTATTTAAGAAGTGAGTTGGTTAGATTTCATGGGTGCGCAACGTTTATGACTGGCAGCCACAGTTGTTCTTTTTAAATCAATTAGTATTTTCCACTTAATTGTTCATTATTAATAAAACTGCGCTTAGATGTTAAAATTTAAACTTTTGCTTTTCATGGAAAACAAGATAAACTTGACCAATGAGACAGTAACAACACAGTTGAGTGCTATTTATCTGCTTACCGACATAAAGAGTGATCACTTGTGAATAACATTTCAGTATTCATTTCTACTAGTATTCGATATATAAGTAAATATTTTTGAAACTATTCGATCTTTCGGTGAGGGGTGATGAGTCTATTAACAAATAATGAAAATGTTTAGTGAGAGTCAAAGTGAAGAGACAATAACAATCAACAACTGAAATAATTACCATCCAAGATTATCAAAACACAAGATCTTATACTATATGGTCGTAGGTGATTTTCTTTAAAATCTTTTACATTAGTATTTTTTTTATGTAAAAAGAAAAGATGAAAGTGCAATTAAATCAAACCCTTTTCTTTTTTCGTCCACTTTCTCCCAGACAATTTTGCTCAAAATTCACTATCCAATGTATATCTACCAAAAGTTCATTCTCGTTCGATAACAAAAATGGCCGCTTACCTATCTGATGAAGAGGACAGTGCTGATTCAACAACTGACTCTGAATTAGATGAAACAACTAATATTAGTCAAAATTCCAGTCCTATAAATAGTTTACGACCTGGACGTAACTTACCATCCACAGGACTAATCATAGGTGGAATGAAATCCGGTGACAATGAACGTGTAAACCCTGAAGACAACAGGTAAAAGATTGCTATAATTTATAAAATAAATATTGGAAAAATTCTCCGCTAGTTAAAACAACAAAGTCTCTTCATGTTTCTTAGCCGCTTGAAGGTGTTTCTTATTATCGGATGTTATGAGGATTTTATAAATTTATAGTCACCATTACTGACTGATATTTTTTGGCAACCACTGAAAAATATGAAGCAATAGACAACGGTTTCGTCCTAGTATGTGTTTCTCATTAGTGTTCATCCACGACCCCACGGAAGATCGAACATAAGACCTTCAGATCTCCTCGTAAAAACTATCAGTTGTGTTGGTTGGTTGATAGAATGGATTTTAAATTATATTCTTTATATGCTGCGGTAAGAAAATACTTAAGATATAAAAGTCTCTGTCACAACTGCTGAAATAACAATTTTTATAGCGTTTTGAATCTCAGGACTAGTTGACTTCTCCCAGTGAGTGTTTAGTGAAATTTATTCCATAATTAGACCTTTAAAGCAACATCACTACTAAAAAACAAGTCTTTTTGTATGTTCATTGCTTGCTAGGCAAGTTTCTACTGGGGGTTGTCATTGAATCCTCTAATAATGTCATAAGTATAATGTCAGTAACTTCACTACTTACAGGCTTTGATTATGAGTATCAGTAAACGTGACCTTTAATTTAAAATATGATTTACTATAATTCGAATTTAAGTATTTATCAAAAATTTTCAACTTTTACTGTTATTGCAGCAGATCTATTTGTTTTAGTAAATTGATCTATTAAAGCAATTGATAAACCCACTGTACATTCAGTATTGAATATTTATTATCGTACATAAAGCGAATTCAATGTTATGAACATATCTTAATTTCTAAAGTTTACTAGTTTATATTCCTTTTTTAAATGAATAAGTCTTTCATGATAGAGTTTACCACTTTCAACCAGTAACATGCTACAGCTTATTAAAACAAATCGCTTTCTTTATGTAACCAACAATAGACTTGTTTTACTAGTCAGAAGTCAAATCTTTAAGTAATTGAACAAAGTGAAATGATCATCTTATTTATGTATATATAAACAGATTTTGTAGTTAATTTAACGAAACAGAAGATAAACAGTACAGTAGAATTATTACCAGTGCTTGCTTCTCAATTATTATGATGAAATGATAAATGGAATTGCAATTTAGAGGTTACAATCAATTTATCATGAAAATAATTATCTGTAGATTATTCTTTCTGATATCACCATTGAAACCAACCTATGGAGTTAACTAATAAAACTGACTTATTTACGTATGTTAATTCTTACTGAAGCTTCTAACCACACGATTAAGAGATGCGTAAAATGTGGCAATCGAAAATGCAAAATATTCTCGAATATGGTACTGTGATTATGAAAATATATGGCGGGCATGCATTACAAACCAGAATACGTGAGTTGTCTACAGAATCTACCGTATTAGTATAAATCAAATAAGGATGCTTCCTAAAATGGATATATAAAGGTTACTTACAACAACATAGGATAAACTATTTGATAACGAATAGCTGTGTCGAAACTACAAAGGTAGACAACAATCTAAAATGGGAATGAAGAGCGCTAGAATGGAAACTGTTACAATAAAATAAATGTTCAATGAGTAGTACACTAGAATTGGAAACAAGTGTTATGAATGTAAAGAATATGCAGTGACGGAGATAGATAAATTGAAGTTCACCAGTCCATGTGAATACTTGAAATATTGCACACTATGCAGTCAAAAAATATTATAATTGAAACTGATTACTGAAGTTGTATAAAATAATACACAAGAGGAAAGCGAAGATAGAAAGCGCTAATCGATTCAGCAGCCTATTGCACTTATAAATTCACATAATTGAATATAAAGCGTAACTTCATCATATGACCTGGTCATCATTCGAAATTGCATTAATAAAACACTGTGTAGAGTAGCTAGCATTAAATGAAATTCTCTGTTTGGTGCTTGAAGTTAATCGGCATTAAACTTTTAGATTATAATATCGTGATTGTTGACATTTAGATTTTTCAGTTTACTACAATTCTCTCCATTATTAGTTCACTGATCAAGTCTTACATTGTTTCATATGCAAAGATTTTTATTTATATTGAGTTATATAAAAAATGTCATTTAAATCATTACAAATGTGTTCTGTGAGTAAACAGAATATTGACCATTTAAAATGTACACATATTTAATCTTTTACAAATAGGTGTTGCATTGACTGAACGATCTATTGACTTTGCTGTCCTATATTGATTTTACATTAGGTTCCCCGTTTAGTGGAGAATAAGTTTCAGATATTTTGATTACAAATAAAAAGAACATATTGAATTTCTGTTATACAGTTAGTGTTTTAGGAATTGAGTTATAAATACACACTTAAGTTGTTAAATGCATGCTTGTATTAATAATGAATACTCATTGTTTCATTTGGAACTATAAAAAGCGTGTAAAATTTCAATTTATTTACTTTCTCTATAGTTAATGTTTTTATTTGTTAGACCATTTCATCAATTGAGAGATAATAGTTTAACTTAATCTATTCTTGTTTAATTGATTCCATACATATATGTATGATTATTGTGCAGGTCATTTAATCGTCTTTCTCCAATTTCACCAAACCGGTATGTATCAATCTCTAAATAAGCAACACTACATTAGTGATAATCTTATTATTTGTGAACTAACTCTCTTTCTCTACTTCAACGCAGACACATAATCACATCTTATTTGTTCACCAGTTTCGTTTGTATTTCTGCTCAACATTTAATTCTATCTTAAAACATTCACACAAATTATGCATAACTTTTTAATTGCATCTTCGTTAACATATTATTGTGTTTTTGTTTACTTTAGTTGGGTGTCATATCGCTCATTGCGCGTGTGTGTTTCTAGTTAGACAGGAACCGAAACGATTAATTGTACCACTTGAAGAATCAATATTGTTTTCATAAAAACGAGTTACATATTCTTCTTCATGTAGGATGCTCTTTCTCTTTAGATTTCTTCAACATATTTTTTAACTTTTAGTTTTTTTGTCGTACTCATTGTTATTTATTTTAGAAGAGTGTAAGTTTTGTCAATATTCAATAAGTTATCGCAAAACTTTTACTTTCATTGGTGGTAAATTGATAATAAATACATATAGTTGTTTTTCTTATGATGCCCTTCCTCGTCTCGCAATATTCCGGTTAACAGCATATTATTCTTCATATGAAATCCACGCTCACCTATCGAACTTATGAAACATTATCCTTGGTCTTCTAAAGCTTCCCTTTAAACTAATGGTTCGAGGCTTCCAATGTTCGAAACATATCTCAGTTTGGGTAACAGACTTCACTAGTTGAACCTGCATACATTACGTAAGCGTGAGCATTCACTTGACTTTGGCTTACCGATGTAGTGAGTAAGCAAATTTCACCCTTCATCTAACTATAAACTTGTTAGCGACCTCCTGTGGCGTTGCGGTAATAAGTTTTTTATCATGTTTAGAAACAGAACAGGCACATCTGAGTTATATACCAGTGGATAGTCGTTTTTGCTCTGTTCGACTAAATTATACAGTAAGGTCTCTGTACATGAACTTGCCGAATCTTCCTTACGTTAATACGTTTGTGTAATGAACTGTAAACTGAAATGAATATGTCCGGTGTTGTTCACCAGGTCTGCTCGTTCTGCTAATCATTTCTGATGTGTTAGTGGTTACGGGAAAACTTGTGCAGTTTCAGTTAGTTTACTCTCAACTTCTACAGACTAAGGCCACTTAAGTTGCAGTAGAAATGTCTGCCTTTCAAAAGGTGAATGTTGTACTTAACAGTTCGTTGCGTATTCCTGTACTGTTGTGAAACTTGGCACTTTAATGTAGAAGATGTGTTACAGTGGATCAGATAATATGTTTTCCCTAAATATGTCAGAAATGCTGAGACTGCTGGAATGAGTGTGTTGAACAATTCGATAATTTCCCTACAGGGTGGATTCTTAAATCTAAATTTTATGACGAAAAGCATTGAACATCTAACGAAATGAATATATTAAGGAATTAAGACTTATTTATGTACAGAATATTTAGCCTAGTCAATATGACTTATTTGATCAAGAATAAAAATGTAGGCTATAGAATAGGCAATCGTTCTTCACATTTGGCCATCATAGCATCATCAATGTATTTATGAGTAAATGTGAACATCAGTTGAAAGAAACAATCTAAACGACTTATAAAACGAGAATTTCTTCTCTGAAATTATTCATTCCTTTTTAAAATAACTTGAAAATTTCTGTATCAACAGAAAGTAATCAGTTGGTTAGTTTTTGAAATAGTTAATAGTAAAAAATGATTTCATTTATTAAGCGATTCACCTGTGTGTACAATAGTCATTGATTGAATATCGAACATTATTTAATTGTATGATAAGCACTTGTTTTATTAGCTATGAGATATGTGAATTGTTTTGCTACCGAATTCTACTTTCTACAAATAACTTAGTTTACCATCTTGACATTGTTTTACAATTGTTCGCATGGTGTAGTTTTCAAACTAAATAAATTACTTTCTCAATAATTCAACGGTTTTTGTTATTTAAAGACTGCTATTGGAAAGTTCCCGATCTTTGTGTTCGATTTGAAGACTACAAGAAACTAAGACTGTTTTTACCATTTAAAATTAATTTACTGTCATGTTTATTCGTGAAAGGTTACTTTAGTAAAATAAAAGCAGTCTTAAATATTCATTTGATATCCTATCAAAGTTGAAATTTCTGAATTTTTGTATGGTAATGATGAAGTCGGTAACTCGAAGTCCTGCCACAACTCAAACCTTTGTTCATTTACAACGTTCATCTATATATGTTAAGTAGTTTAAAACATTGCAGCCAGTTGTAACATAATACTATTGTTTACAAGGGAACTTTCGAACTATTCTGTTTGTTAATAAGTGAATACAATATTATGTTTTCTAAGCTGGATGGTTTTATCAGGGAGGTTTTGCGGTTTCTCCGGACAACATCATTCTCACATACTTCACTTTTGAGAGCACAGCACCTCTAAAATTCTCTTCTTGAGCTACAGATCATCATCTCAGAGGTGACCGTAATTATCATTTGGTATTTGTTATGTAATATCATTGGTACACTTTTGATATCTCTGACAAAAATATTACTTTAATAAAACGTTTCAGATCAGTTAGATTTGGTATACGAGCTCCTATATCTCATATGTGACTTAAATTTGATGATTATATACAATGTAACTAGTGGAAAATATTTTGTTTAATTCCTGGATTACTATTGCATGATAACGAACTGTACCCCCTGTTTTTACTTTTCCTCTGTGTGTATGCGCATCTGTTCTATGTAATCTGTTTATTTATTCAGCTTCGAACCATACTTTGTGTAAGACCTACTCGAAAAAGGAGTCTTTTGACTAAAAACTACGGAGTCATCATTTCACATCGTTATTTGTCACCAGTAGTTTGGCGTAGATGATCGTTCACCTATTCATAATTGAGAGAGCACAACAAATTTTACTCTTCATTTCTTTGACCAACTAGTATTTTAAATACCCATTTTATTCTTGTCTATAATTGTGCTAAAATTAAAACAAGCATTTGAAATTTGTGTATTTGATGTTTACTAACAATTAACTTATATTTTATACCGAAATCCTGGTGATACAATAAGTTGAACATAATTCATTTCATTTTACAGATTTCTTGATTTTAATGTTTCAATAATATTCCAATCAGTAGTAGTATGACTTTGATTGAAGCGATTTATTTATTTTTGTTGTTTTAAATAAATTATTTTTATATTTCAGTCCAGTAAATTTACAGCCTGTCTTACCGTCTCGTCGAAGGATTATACGTATTGTCGATCGCATCACCAAATCCTCATATTTTCAAAGAGCCGTTGATACAAAACTAGTTCAGCGTGGTATGGAACGTTTGTCAAACACACCAATTGTATTACAAGTTGAGGTATGTCCTTTTTCTCTGAGCAAGATAGAGATAATGTAGGTTATTAGAAGATTGACTTTAACATTCTCAGTTTTTTTTAATGTCACTCTATCAATTTATTAATTGTTGACTGACAAATATAGGATTGCAAAAAAAATTGTGCAATCTATATTAAATCAAGTGACACGTCAAAACAGAGAACCCTTAAGAATTCAATAATAACTGCAAAAAAAAAGTCATGAAAACTTGTCTAGGCTTCATCACTGTATATCACCAGTCATCGATTTCTACGATGTGTAATAATTAAAGCTGAAAAGTCTACTATTCAGTTTTCTTATTCTTGGATAGATCAAGGATATTTTAGATATATCCTTTCGTATTTTTTTAATCTTTACCCTGAACTCTGTTTAATTTTAGGATCACTTAGTTTTTTTCTGACACTTAAACTTTCACAGATAATTGTGATGTAATATCGGTAGTTTTTTATTGTTATTGTTATTCTTTGCAATGCAATGGGCTGTACCGTACATTTCATACTTAATTGTAGTACCTTTATTTTTTGCTGTTGTATTTACTCAGAGTTAATACATAAGATCTCATCTGACTGAAGTATTCGTCCTAATAATTGGTTTAACTTCATGTATATAGACTACCCTAACATCTAGCCAGGAAACTAGGCACTATATATATGTATATATACCAACTGACTTTAAGTTTAAAGTAACTTCATACTGATCACTTCAAACTTTTAATAGTCAGCTCATATGTCATATATTTTAATGAGTCGGTTATTCGTAATTAGCGAACACAACAGAACAAACTACGTTATTAATTATTATCCGAGAGATCTTTATAATTAATTCTTTCGTAATTTTACTCTCCTGTTTATATGGAAATTGTTCTATCCTAGTGAAGGTTAAATTACGGGTATCTTCGGAGACCTATTAATGGACTGATATTATCTATATATTCTTATTGTATAACTATTCAGTAGCTATGTTATATATATCTATATTCCCTTTATTATAAGCTTCGTTTTGACCTATAGATTATGATTGTACGATTTACTGTTCTTACGTTATACTCAGTTTATTAATTACTGTATCCCACGTTCACAGCCACCTTTGGCTATATTTTGTACGAGTGTTATTTTCCATTTTATGGTACATTGCGGTCTGTTTGGTTGATATATAAACCCAGTGTGTTTGAAACAAATGATTCGCATAGTGGAGGCTGTCGTTGGCATTCTGGACTCAAGTGGACGGGCTAGGCGAGGAAATTACCAATAGGACGCTGGGCTGATCGGACCGAACGAAGTCATTGGTTTAGTACAAGAGCAAATAAGTCGTATTTTGATTGGCGAATAAATTACGTGGTAACTGGCGGGCCATAAAGTCACAGCAGAAACGTTTGTTATTTATAAAGTACTTGACATGAAATCCATCCATTTTATGTAACGAACTTATATGTTATTATATGTGAAAATTATATTTGAAATAATATCAGCGATTGAAATTTAAATAATTCCAACGTTTCGTCCAGCTAACTTGTCTGGACTTCTTCAGGGTAATAATCAAAATCATCAAAGAAATATATAGATTTTTAACAATCAAAACCATAGTTTTATTATTTAAATTTCAATCGCTGAGATTATTTCAAATATAATTTTCACATATAATGACTTCTCTATACTCGGCGCCCAATTTCTGTCAAACTATTCGTTCTAATCTTGACGAATATTCGTGTGAACTTATATGTTGTTGTCAGATTATTTTATTATGAAGTGTTTATCAATGTTCTCTCTAGTTGAGAGTGTAACATACGCTGTATTTATCATCTGAATATCACTTGGAGCATTTTGAATCTTTTATAATCTTTCAGTTGTTATTTTACTTACAGAGGTAGTGTAGGAATTGACATGATTGTTTGTCAATCTACGTAACTACATTTCAAAGACAACAGTTATTTAAGAATTTCAACATCTTGTCGAAGTCCATCTGTCTATTAAACATTAACACATGATCGAAAACTTTGACATCAATTTAAATTCGCCAAGAAACAAAAGTACAAGCTGGGCATTTTTCTTATTTGACTTTGTCTTCAAACTTGCATAAAATTCAAGTAAATATTCACATTTGTTTCTTAAATGTGTACCTCAGAAACAATGATATTTTTGTGACTAAAAAACTTAAAATCTTGAAATTTTAATTGTTTTGTAGTAGTTAAGATTCTTCTCATACCAAACAGGATCTACGCGAAGTAGATAGATCGGTGACTATATATTATAAGACTAAAAACTCGAAAATATCTGCTCAAAATTTAAAATAATAAAAAGAACGAAAAACTAATAACACTAGAGCGTACAACTGTAACAGTAGTGATTTCAGCCATCTCTAGCCATTTGACTTGATGCGTTACTCGATTGTGACAGCAAACAGACTACAACTATATCAAGGACTATAACTGGGCAAATTTTTGACGTAGCCTAAACCATATAATCACTTTTCAATCTCATCTTAAAGAATGTAATCTGCTATGCTCATTTACATCATATCTTGTCGTGTACTTTACTACGCCAATCCTCTTCCCAATTTCTTGTTGTACAAATCTTGTGTGTTTATTTATATTGATCACAATATGCCACAGGTATTTTCATATGTTCATTTGATTTTAAATGTAATCAGATAAAAACTAAATTCTCCGATATGGTTCTGCTTTATCGTTATGTTTTTTTTTTGGTTTATCAATACCTAGATACAAATGTTAAGTGGTACGCTTTTAGTCAATATCCCTCCACCGCCCAGTGATCGTCTGTGGTATGGTTTTCGTCCTGTACCTAATATACGACTTAAAGCACGTCCTCGTGTTGGAGAAAAAGTTGTTACAATGTCACGTATATTAGAATGGATTGAAAAAAAAATGATTCTTGAATTCCAGGTGATAAACTTTATTTTGGCGTATTTTTCGTTCAGAGGTCATTGTTTATCTCCTAGTATCAGATTGTGTTCATTACTTGTTATTTACGACCGAATATTTTATTCATTTATCCTATCCTGATCGGTAATTATGAGTGAACACCAAAAGAATTATGTTGAATGTAAAGCCTCTGTCTAGCGGTGGAGTGTTAAAGAGCACAGTATAGTAAATTGTTCGCATCTACTGTTTCATGTTTGTTTTGAATTAAGGTTTTTTGAACAATATTTTTTGATATCGGCTTTCGAATATTCGTGGTAGAACTCCTTTGGCTTTTAGCAGCTTTTTTCAACGTGTTGTCGAAACACTCAGCTCACTCGTTTGAATGTTCCCCCTCCGAAGTGTATGATTTTAGGCGTTCGTGAATGAGTAGTCGGCTAATTTTACTGTACAATAAAGTGTTGGGATAAGCGTACCTGAAACTTCGAGTAGACATTGTTTAGAACAAATTAGTACGTCCCACTAATTGATTCTGTGAAACATAAGTCAACGACGTAGGAGCCGGTACAAATATTCATCAGTACAGATCTTAAGGATTCCGTTTTAGTCTCCGTCAGTTTCTATCAACAATTAACTCACGATTTTCTTTATTTAAGCATAAACATTGGTACAAAGAGGCACCATAATAAATATGCACTACACAAAGAAGTTATTGAATTCGAGTGTGGACTCCGATGCTGCTGAGGCAGGCAGCTTTCTTATGAAGCCACTCCGAGCGTTTAATTCAGAGGTCCAATTCATATAAAAATGGAACAACGATAAGAGATACAGTCCTTTGCTAGCCGGTCACCAACATTAGGTTCATACGCTTTTCGCTCCCTCGGGATTTCTGGAGCCCACGTGCTGCATCATTGGTTCGGAATTCAGGGTTTTCTAACTCCCCTAGGTGGATGTTCGTATCCACCAACCCGATTTGACATTCGCTTTTCTTGCTCTTAATTTCGAAAATAACACCCCTGCTTTGAGAAAGCAGTGGCCATATGAGAGAATCCTGTGAGGTACAGCAGAGGAGCGGTTACAGGAAGTAACGAGATCCTCTATATAGATAAAATGTCCATTTTTATATTTGGTACATAAAGCGTCTATCAAGCATCCACTTCAGTTAAATTAGTTATACTGTTAACTATATCCTAAGCTTGCTAGAAATATTGGCAAAAAATAAATATTTGTAATTACTTAAATATAAAAAAATTACTGGAAAACTCAAATAAGAACTTTCATTTATTCAAGTATGATTGTTGACTACATATTCACAACCCATCTGTCTTTTTTTGTTGCCTAATAGCATTTAGTTGTTTTACCGAATATGGATGATTTGAAAGTTGGGCTACTTTTATCCGATGCTACATCAGCAACATAAATAATCTGACACCAATTATATTCAATGATATCAAAACGGCTGAAGGATTAGCTTTTAATGATCCCTAATCACTATTACAAAGGGCTTCGATGAAAACTGATGTAATCTCATTGTTATCATCATCATTCCTTCTCTTTTGCTTTTTCTGTCGCATACGTTGTCAGTATACTGTATTTTATACAAATGTATTCATGCTATCTTATATACTTTAGCTTATTAAATTCAAATTAATCTAAACGTGATTTCTTTTTGTCATATTTTCTATCCTTTCATTTTTTCGTAAATGCTCACATTCATTTGTCGCAGTGAATATGAAATGAAGAATACATAACCAATAATTTCTATTGGGAACAATTTAGTGTTGCCTCTTTTTGATGATATCTTGGGCAATTCTAAGTGTAATCAGCAGTTGATTTCCGTTTTATACAATTTTTGCGTTGTATCGAAAACTATGATGGATGAAGACTAGATATTATATATATATTCCAATTGTTGAATATTTATCCTACACAGAATGTATTGACAGTTTTGTTAAGTGGATTTATTACCTACAATATATTAAAAATCGGAACCTTCCTCTCACTTCATCTGTGGTTAGCAATTTTATTACTATTCTTTTGTTTCTATTTACCCAACTTTTTTTTCTATTGAGTGCTTTGAAGAAATAGACCTGACTATTGTTCTCAGTGCGTACCGTTGCCACCTTCCTAGGTACTTTTACTACTGTAAAACACGACAATAGGCAGAAGGTATATACATTTATTGCGAGAAGTTTCAAAGTATTTACATAATACATATAGCATTCAATCGTCTATTTGCATCTTCCGACGTGTTCTGCAATCTGAACTGTCTTCTCGGCTGGCCTCCAGGTGTTCTGCCAACACCGTGCTTTGATGCATTGAAACTCTGTCCGACAATTTTTACAACTTCGACGCCACATTCCGATAAACACGACTAACAAATATCCTTGTGAGTAGCGTCCACTACACTACAATCAATCTGTATAAATTAGAAGCATCAAGAACATGATCGAAAATTGTAATGATTATTTGCAAGGGTCGGATTATTCGACGTCGTATCAACATCAGGGATGCTTCGATATATGTCAGTTATAGTTCTGGATTATGTTTAGCAGTGAAATCCAAGACGCTCATCTCCACTTGTTAGGGACTCTTCACCCGGAACTACCTGTTTTGTGTTGAAGGTGAACGTCAACACCAGGACTTAGGCGCATCCAACGAATGGGTCTTAGGATAGAACGTCCGTCTTGAATCTCATTGCTAGTCATAATTCAAAATAATGTAATGTTATTTGGTAGTAAAACTCAAGGAAGTTACCACAGCTTTTCCATTGGGCTTGCACTTCAGACATTTTACACGTTTACCTTTCATTCGATATTATTAAACCATTAATTTGTTGCTACTTTATTTATCCCGGCTAACCTCAATCTCCATACCATAACACTGTTCCGGTTGTTTAAATGGTTTCATCCGGATTTGCTGCCGCTGTCACTTCACAAAAGCACCCCCGTGGTGTAACCAATAAGTGATCGCTATCATTGTTCATAGTCAGACCTCACAAGTACTAACGCAGCAGGCACCGCTCTTTCTACAACCGATAGTAACACTCAAACATACAAATCCTCTCATCTGTTTTAGTAACCTAACTATTGAGTTTCTGAAGGCCTATAGCTCATCACTTCACACTAGTGAGACCGATCTCCATATTTTCCTGGAATTAAGGATATTTATACACATACACAAACTGACTTTCATATTTTTATGAAGGCAACAGTGTCCAGTATTCTTAAGATAACTGACCTCGCCTCTAAACCAAAGATTATGGTTCTTGTTATAAATAAACCATATGAAGGGAAAATATTCTAGACGCTTAGTACAGATTGTACGGAGTTATAGACAGGAAAGTGCAAAGTACATTGTTTACCAACAATCTCTCGAAGTGCGTTTGTATTTTTCTGTCGTCATATTTTACCACCAAATAACAGTAAACATTATGATATTTTGAAACAAACCTAATAATAATAAATCTTGTTGGTTCGATCACTCGAAGGTAATTGGTTTTCATTTCATAGACATCTAACACATTTGTAGGGACTTCTTAAAAGTCACACACCAACGTACATCTAGATCGTATATTACTTCAAACTAATTGTTTGTAGTATATAACGAAACTTAAGATACGTTGACCACGCTTAAAATCGATATCATTGTATACGGCAGTAAGGTGTTTCCTTCAGACAACCAGCATGACAGCGATGCTGCCTTCCCACAAGGTGGAGTGGGGTTAGAAAAGGTCGACCCTAAAAATGCACACCTCGCCTTATCCCACGGATATCCGTCTCCGGCGGTAAGGTCTCAACAAGTACGGAGCTAACACAGAAATCACCCATAAAAAGGTCGTGTGTGACCGGCCTCAAGCAGTTGTCCCTTGGGCACTGCGGTAAAGCTCTCAGGTCACTAAGACCACCTCTAATCCTATTTCCTTTTCAGGTACCCCCAGAAGAACCCTTCCACGGCGTGGGCAACCGGGAAGTGATAACCGCCCTCATACCTCTAACAGCACTCAAGACCACTGTATTCATGATCAACCTCCCTCTTCAATTCCTATTATTCCTCCTACATCGACTTTCAACTTCCTCCTTTGGCTTCCTCCTCAAGTGTCACCATAGCCAACGATTCTAGTGCTCAAAACTCTGTCCCAGGTCTACTGAAACCTCGCTCCAAACTACACATTGGAGCTTTCAACGTACGCACTCTATGTCAAATCGGTCAGCAGGCTTCCTTGGCTAAAACCCTAGAGTCTCTTACCATTGATGTATGCTGTGTCTCCGAAACATGCATACAGGATTCCAGTGTGGTCATTCACTTGACCTCACCTCGGCAAAACGGAGAGCCGAGATACACCCTCCATGTATCTGGTGACCCGATGGCCAGTTCTCGTGGACTGGCAGGTGTACTCGTAGCAGGTAACTTATGCACATATAGGTAGTTTAAACCAAACAAAAAGGCATTTAGGTGGGTATTTTAGTATTCCGACACAGCGAACAGATAATGGTGATCGTCTGCTGCAACTGTGCTCAGACAATCGTTTATTTTTAGCAAACACAAATTTTAAGCATAAGGAGAGACATCGTCTAACATGGCGACCCCCTACACCAAACCAACGATGGACTCAAATAGACCATATTGCCATCAGTCATCGTTGGAGAGGGTCGGTAGAAGATTGTCGCTCATTCTGGAGTACCTGCTTGGACTCCGACCATGCCCTAATACGGGCACGCATCTGCTTGCGCCTCACTGGACGCAAAAAAGCCACATTAAAAAGACCCATTAGAACTGAGTTGAGTAACGAGAAAACCAAAAGTAGGTTCCAGGAACAACTGAGGTCACACTTAGGTAGTTCTGAAGACGAGGCTGACCCAGATGTTGCTTGGAAAGCATACAACAGCTGTGGAAACAGCAGTGACATCTATTAGTGACTTAAACCACAGAGTTACAAAGAACCAGTGGATTTCTTCAAGGTCTATTGCACTGATGGATTCTCGCAAACTCGTCCCATCAGGTTCTGAACATGATGAAGAGCGATAACAAATCAGATCTAGGTTAAGAAAAAGTCTAAGGAACGACCGTGAGCAGTGGTGGGCAACGAAAGCAAAAGAGATGGAAAAGGCGGCGACTATAGGGAACACAAGACAGCTTTACAGACTAATAAAAGAAACTGGAATTAATAAGTCAAGTGTAAGTGAGATTATTTCGGAAAAAGATGACACTCTCATCTGCTCCCAGTCCAGACGTTTAGAACGATGGGCGGAACATTTCAGAGAACAGTTCAGCTGGCCTTCAGCTACTCTACAACTACCCTCCATTCCCAGACAGTGTGAATGGAACATTGAAGTAGGTCCCCCAACTCTTGCTGAAGTTCAAAAGGCTATAGTTAATCTGAAACGAGGAAGGGCAGCTGGTCCAGATGGATTGGCTCCAGAGGTCTTTAAGGATGGTGGTCCAATTTTAGCGATTAGGTTGACTAATATTTTAGCTAAGATCTGGGAGTTAGACGTTATCCCATCTGACTGGTCACAATCACTTATCGTCCCAATATATAAGAAAGGGTCAAAATCATCCTGTGACAACCACAGAGGGATTAGTTTAACTAATATAGTATCTAAAATACTAGCCTCGATAATTATCAGACGCCTAACTAAGACTCGTGAACTGCAAACACGAGAGAACCAAGCTGGCTTCAGACCTGGTCGTGGCTGCATCGACCACATATTCACCATTCGTCAGGTTCTAGAACACAGGCATACTTATCGGCGTCCGACAATGGTGGTCTTTCTTGACTTAAAAGCAGCATTTGACTCTGTAGACCGCGAGATTCTGTGGCAGTGTCTGTCATTGAAAGGCGTACCTCAGAAGTACATAAACCTTGTGAAGGCTCTTTACTCGAACACTACTAGTCGAGTCAGAGCTTATGGCGAACTGTCATCTACTTTTGCAACCTCAAGTGGTGTCCGTCAAGGCTGTCCACTTTCTCCATTTTTGTTTAACTTCATCATAGACCTATTGATGGAAATAACATTCTCGTCGACTGAATTCTCGGGTATTGATCTCCTTCCAGGAGGTCCACTTATCGACTTAGAATACGCAGATGACATAGTCCTGTTTGGTGAAGACGCTGACAAAATGCAGAGTCTTCTGGTAGCACTAAGCAACAATGCCAGAATGTTTGGAATGCGCTTCTCTCCCTCTAAATGCAAGTTGTTGCTTCAGGACTGGTCTGCGTCAACACCTGAACTAAGGATAGGGAGTGAAGTAGTCGAACGCGTTGACAACTTCACTTATCTTGGAAGTCTGATCAGCCCTAATGGGTTGGTGTCTGACGAAATCTCAGCACGGATTCGAAAAGCTCGTTTGGCTTTTGCCAACTTACGTCACCTTGGCGAAGGCGAGATATCCGTCTATCAATAAAAGGACGAGTATACTGCGCGGCAGTCCGTTCTGTTTTAATTTACGGCAGCGAAACATGGCCATTAAGAGTAGAAGACACTCGTAAGCTACTAGTATTTGACCACAGATGCCTTAGAAATATTGCTGGCATCTGCTGGGATCACCGGGTAAGTAATAGTGAGGTTAGACGCAGGGTATTAGGGAATGATGGTAAATCAGTTGATGAGGTTGTGAATCTTCATCGACTGAGATGGTTGGGCCACGTGTTACGTATGCCTGAACACCGATTACCACGACGTGCAATGCTAACTAGTGTATGGGATGGTTGGAAGAAAGTTAGGGGCGGCCAAACCAAAACGTGGCATCAGTGCTTGAAGTCACTAACTTCTAGTCTGAGCCATGTTGGTAGATGCAGACTACTTGGTTGGGGTCCGCGTGACTATCGTAACCAATGGCGTAGGTGTATACACTCCCTGTCTTCCCTTAAACTAAGAGAATAAAATCACTTCATATCTTTCCTTCTACTAACTAATTCTTTCTTCCTATACTATATCCTTATATGCAATCTTTCTCCTATATATTACCACCTTTGACTTAACCACTCCTATGAATCCGGTGTTCATCTTGTTGTGCTAATGAGGTATGGCAACCTGGACCGATGCACATATGTGCCTGGTCCTACGTTGTAGCTGACTGACTGACTGGAGTAATTGAACGACGAAAGACACGTTGTATTTACACGGCGTAAGGTAATACTGATGATTTTAGATATTACAAGTACGGAAGACATTATAGCCATTTAATGCTGTTGTAAATACTAGTCCTGGTATTTGTGGATGCCAGTGTGCTTCCTTTAACTCTGTTTGGCCACCATGAACAAATAACAATTGAACTGGTATGCCTAAATCTTCATCTGCCTCATGATTTGAACTTGATTCATTTGACTGTTTTAATTCTTGTTCAGATTGTTCTAAACTAATGTCCCAGAATGTAGCTTGATCGTCTTCACATGTAGCTACAAACACTCCAGCGTCATTCGGATGCCATTCCACTGATGTGATTGGTTTCTTGTGGTACTACAAGACAAACCAAAATACATCATCTTAATATAATAATGACAACAACAACTGACACTGAGATTTTACAAAATAGTTTAGTAGATATCAAAAGTAAACTTAACGTGATGGTAGCTAATGGGAATCCGTGTAAAAGAAATAAAACCGTGACTTTCCATGAGTGGATTAATAATACTTTTCAGACGGAATGTACAGTCTACTAGTGGAGAATGCATTATCTAAATTATGCTCATAAATGAATCAACCAATAATATTTACGTTAAACACTTACCACCTAGACTCAATTCGGTCTAGAGGCGGTCATATTCTGCTTAATTGTCAATCACGAAATCTTGCTTTTTCTATAGACAAAAATGATTTTTCCACTGATTTCATTTGCTGCATTCCTTACTATCGTATGAAACAAGTAACTTTATACGTTGACTACCTTATATGTGTCACCAAAGAGCAAATTATACCTACAAATACCTACGTGATAACTCTCTAGAAAATAATCACTTGGACTTAGTAATATACTAATATTATTTAAAACTCGGTTATATGCCAGAATTTACCCATCGCTTTACCGTTTAGTCTTTTACAAGTGACTATTGGATTATTTTTAACGATTCGCAAGTCTAAATGTCAGTCCTCTAATATCAACAAACTATCTTAAAAATACAACATTATGTTTACCACACCGAAAATCCAAGTTAAATGAGATAACAAAATTATTTAACTTACTGATTGCGACTATAACAGCTTATATCTAACATATACGTGGCTAGTTACCACTTTAAAAAGTTTATAATAGTGATACTTACATCAAATAAGTGCGTATAAGCAGGTACAGATCCATCGTTTGACTTTTTGCCACTGTAACAACTGTGAACTAATCGTAAATCCCATATTCTTAAAGTTCCATCATCTCCCCCCGTTAGCAAATTAAGAGCTTGCAACTTATTCCAAGAAGCAACATTTATATCAGCTGGATGGGCTTCTTGGACTGTAAGCATGCTTCCACTCGATATTGGTGCGCGAACATCCCAAACACGTATACTATGATCCGAAGAAACAGAGATAAATACAGTTGGTTCCGTAGGAGACCACTGAATATCTTCAACTGAATCTGTATGACCTAAATAAGCTCTATTTGATACAGCCCAGTCAGAAGACTGAGAAGTTAAAAAAAATTGAAAACAGTAAAATAATGAACCAGCATTCAACCACACATTAATATGACACAAATTACTGACATTAATGGACAAATTTCATATTTATCAAGTTGAAAAGTGATGAAGAATATCATTTCGAATATAAATACCATCTACGAATGGAGAGTAATTGAAATGGTGATAATATGGTAACATACTGATGTTAAGAACGTTCATGTTAGCAACTTTTAATATCACGAAGCTGTAATCAGATTATCTCCTTCAAAAGTAAGTATATACATCTAGGTTAAAAGGGAGATCCTTGCAGTGTTGTTCCAATTCAAAATAGAAAATTGAGATTCTAATTATTTATCAAATACTGGATTTGGAAATATCTTTTACCTTTATTGGTTACTTTGACGCCATGTGCAGTTAGTGCATAGATAGCTGGAGACCCAGATAACACTGGTGTTCAAGTTTACAACCTAAAAAACATACTACAAATAACACCGAAGAACGACTGTTTCACATCGAAACGGGTTTATCATTGATTTATGACCAAGTCTACATAAAAACTTAGTAACTAGAAAGTAAATGGTCAGTAATTAACAGGGATATTTCAAACATTTTCAGAGAATAACCAATAAAAGTATTAAACTAAAAATTATATACTCCCATCAAAATGTTCAATAAATGAATGTAGATCAACAAATTCACGTATATTGGTATACAATATTATGAGGCAGATTAATTGTGTAAATTATAGTCGTAGTATTTAGGTGTCCGAAGAGTACTAACTGGATTAGGTTCGACCGTTAGACATAATGGTTGATAACAGGATCACAACTCCCTACGAAGAATAAGCTTGATATCAAAATTATTGCTACTGCAAAAAACGTTTGAGCTCCAAAACTAAAGGTTAGTGAAGATGAAAATCGAAATTTATGGAATGATTTAAAACGTCGTCGGTTGAATGACACGATTAACTTACAGTACATGGCTTCTTAAATAAACAAATCCCACGAAACTGTCCTTTGACGTGTCTGTTACCACAACGATTCTCAAAACAAATCGCTGTGTTGACAGTGCTAAGAACTTTTTTTGGTCTAAACGTATATCAGATAACTTACTATTAACTACACATAAAAAAACAAAATTGTTTATAAACGACTTATTGACATGGATTATCATATCCAAACTGGGCATTTTATCCTGTTGAGGGTGATAAACTCCCAGTTTTAAGATATGAACATGCGTCGGTTGTTAACTCAAATGTTTCTATGATATTTTCTAACACGCTAGTTTTAAAGATAATTCCAATATTCTGGGATTTGTATGGCCTTGCTTAACTGCACACAAATATCTTTAAGGTCATAAAAACTGGTACAGTAAGGCATAAAGAAGAGGATGCGCTACGCAAAGCATAGACAAATTTGAGAGGAAAAAGGTTGTGCGTTTGACGAGAAAAAATAAGCGAAATAGTAAACAACAGGAGACATGGTTCAGTGAAAAATCCAAACGAGATAATTCAGAATTCTTTTAGTTTAAAAAGTTCGTCTCACATTTAAGAATATGAAATTAAGCTACAGAAGGATCACCACTAGGTTCTGTTCCGGGAAATGGCTGATAATCAATTGAACTAACGGACACCCCAGAGCCGTGATGAACCAACAAATCTCACTTGTTGATTCTGAGTTTTCTATTTTGCCAAATTCCTTTTGTGTAAAACTTTACATAACATTACACTACTTGCTAATAATCAGTAACCAGTTTCAACTATAATATCTTTTGACGTTAATGTGTCTTTCAGTTGTGTAATATTTCACCTCCCTTCGTAGTTAGGATAGGATATCGTCAAAACAATACGCAGTTCCTTTCTACAACACTTGATCGATAGCGGTCATGAATTAGATAAAAATAAGTCACTCAGAGTGATTTGCCATATTCTTACTAGTTTTCCTTATGGGGTTCGATCACGTTTCTTACACATAGCAGAAGCCATGGGGGATTCGAGCTAACAAACCTCTGTATTTATAAGAAATCTGTAACACCTTAATATTTTTCTTGGCCGAATTAGCCATAACAAGAGATTTTACTTATTGTTGTTTTCATACTCCTTATTTGTTGAGTTTTCTTCACTCCCTTTTTTTCTTCAAATATACACTTCATTGTTCGATTATCTGAACACTTCTTATAACGTAGTCTTATAATTCTCAGTGAATGTTATTTCAGTGTATATATTTTTTCCAAGTTATTGACCTATTTCCTATAATGAAACACCGACTCAAACCTTTGTTATTCTTATCATCACACTATCAATTTGTACTTTGTTTTTTATTACATTTGTTTATGTCTACCACTGTTATCACTTATAAACCACCTTAATTGGTTTAATAATTTCGCAAATGTACATAAATGTTACCATGTATTAGAGCGAATCCTGATGAGGATCTAATTGAAAGAAATATTGTTCGCTTATATATGTTGTTTCAATAATCCAAGTATTTACACGAACTAATAAACTTCAATTTATCTATCACTGTCACTGCATATTCTTTACATTCATAACACTTGTTTCCAATTCTAGTGTACTACTCATTGAACATTTATTTTATTGTAACAGTTTCCATTCTAGCGCTCTTCATTCCCATTTTAGATTGTTGTCTACCTTTGTAGTTTCGACACAGCTATTCGTTATCAAATAGTTTATCCTATGTTGTTGTAAGTAACCTTTATATATCCATTTTAGGAAGCATCCTTATTTGATTTATACTAATACGGTAGATTCTGTAGACAACTCACGTATTCTGGTTTGTAATGCATGCCCGCCATATATTTTCATAATCACAGTACCATATTCGAGAATATTTTGCATTTTCGATTGCCACATTTTACGCATCTCTTAATCGTGTGGTTAGAAGCTCTAGTCCAGTCCTATACAAATTTCTTTCATATCACGGCACAATTTCATTCAGTGAACAACTCCCAGCTTTTCACAACCAGTCCTACAGTTGGTAAATCCTGCACAATGTGAAAGTCACAGGGATGACATTCGTAAACATATCCCAAGTCTAGATTTCAGGATGTTGACATCAATTGAGTTATCGCCACTGTGCCTGAACACGTATTGATGAACTTGGTTACCAACATGGTGTAGCCAATGAATGTAAGCAATCCTTGAGAGACAAAAACGATCGAATACAAAGTCGCCAAAAATCCTAAACTCAAAGAGGTTAGTTTTTGCAAGCATGGAGCTGTTGTTAAAAACGCCTTAAAGACGTGACGTTTTGCAGCTACACTAACAGCACGGCGGAGCTAAGACGAAGCCAAATCTGCATAACCTGCTATGCGTAGATTGATCTCATCAACCATACCACCGCCAGCACACATAACTAGAAAGGTCATCGTAGTCCAACAACCAAAAAATTAAGAAACGTTTTTTTGTTTGCAACAAATTACAAATTAACAAATATGTCATGTATATGTTTTATTAATCTGGGAGTCGCACTAATGTACTAAGAGGACAGATAAAGTAGTCGAAATAAAGCTTCTACTCAAAAGATGAAGCCACAAAGCTACAATCCTACCTGAAACCTCACTTACATAATTCTCTCTTTTATATGTTCATTGTATTCCCACATTAGCCTCTTAAAATTATTCAGGTAACAACAAAGTATTCGAGTTTAAAAATTATGAGATTCAAAGTATTGGATTGTACAGAAATAGCGTGTGTATATCTGCCCCCAAATGCCTTAGTACGGCCGAGACTGGAGAGAGTCAGCTCTCCCTCTCAAAATGCTCTCACATGGCTACGTGCATACAACCACTGCCAGGGAAGTCCAACTCACTGCCTTCTCGTGGCGAGGGTGTTGTTTACGAAACTGTGAGAACGAAAAGCAAATGTCCAGAACTTTAACCGGGTTGGTTATGTGGAGCATATATGTTTGGTGCCTCCTTGTACCAATCTTTATGTGTTTAAAAAAATGAATAAATAAATAATCTACCTACAGTTTCGTAAAACTAACTTGAATAGAAACTTAAAATTCGAAAATGTCGATAAATATAAACAGCATTATTGATGATAATAACTTTAACCTTTACACTGATATAACCACATCCTAGAAAAGTTAATCATGGATAACGAACGACCGCTAATAATAAAAAGTGAGGACCCTACTTACTCTAGGTGTCCAGTGATAAATACGACCATTACAATCTCCTGTAGCTAAATGTCCAGAAGAATTAGTATGAGTACCCCAGTCCAGAGCGAAACCTTCTGAACCATGACCATTAAATGTGAATAAGGGTGAAGGAGATTCATTGTGACGTACATAATCAGCCATGACAGCTGAATCATTTACAGCTGTAAGGGGTCTGGTTAAATCCCATATGAATACCTAAATGAGAGAAAATGATTGTAGTTAAGAAGTAAAGAAAAATAAACTATACGTCATCCAGTTACCTTTACAAGCAACTTCTTTATATATATATATATATATATTCACAAAAATATGCACAAGGGAATCGAGCAGGATTTTCTAGTAGGTTTATTTAACTAACTTGTCAAAAACCACTTACAGTAACATTAATTCAGTTCATTAGTTCGGACGATTAGAACGGTACTAATGCAACATAGTAATAAAGAGTATTATACATGTCAACAAAGCATGAAGATTAAAATCCATGGGTATAACTGATATGGAGAGTAACAAAAAAACAGGCTTGTGAAAAGAAACTGACAATCAGCTCGTAGACTTTGAGTTAAGGTTGTAATGAAATATCTCATTTTTGATTGTTGTCAGTTGGATTATTTGAGGTGGCTTTGAACATTGTGATCACATACGATTTATGGACATTTCGGCAATTATTTTAATTTCTCTCTTAAAAATTGTTAGTCTCTCATATAAACTTGGAAAGTGTGATGAGAATACGGGGTTCATTTGAAAAATATGATGTTTTTGCGTAAAACATTTTGAAAAATCTAGTCACACATACTTGTCAAAGCATTTTATATGAAAATTGGAATTTAGTTAAATAAACGTCCGCTCAACATAGAATGACAGCTAGAAATAAAGGGAAAAAATAATCCGATATGAAAAGAACAAGTTATTGAACCAACCTTAACCTTAGAACGAACTAGGTTACCAAGGCAGATTTCAGATCAAGACAAACTGTTTCTGTACACATAAAAGTTTGGATATTTTAATAAACAAAGTAGTTAAAAACTCAAGAATGAGCTCTAAATAATTTCTATAAACAGCGTTAACAGCTGTTTTAACGTCGATTCCTAAGACCCGTTTTAGCTGTTTTGCAATTGACGAGCATGGTCCTCAACTCCCTGCGTCCATCCACGCATTTGAGACCGACTGATCATTAGGCTACTTAGGCAAAAATTTCATCTCCTTTGATTGTAACATTCGACTACTTCCAATGTGACCGCAAATACGTGAGTTCATACATACAGTGGGACGTGATGTGTATACAATTTTTAGGCCTATGTGAAAGCATGGGTTTTGTCTTTCTGAAAACTAATTCTGCACCATAATGTTTTTCGATGACTGGTTTTAGCCTCAGCTTTGGAATTATACTATTTAATTCTCCTCTATAAGGTAATGTTACATGAACCCTTTTTTGAAACAGAATCAAGAGTGGTTTCCAGTATTAACTAGCTATTACATCAATGTATGAACTTTAACAGATACCCGTTTAATTACGTTTATTACCACTCAACATATAACATCGAAACTTTTGATATCATTGGTACGTAAAATGAGATTCTGGGAAGATAGTGTTGTGATTTAATTAAAACCAACAAATATTTTTCAGATCGAAAGATTATTTGAAAACTCATACTCATAAATGGCAAACTGATTGCTGGGTAAACAACAATACTATGTAACTAAAAAAGCTCCTCCGTCAAAGGTTTTCGGATTAGTATTTAGCATAACGGGAAAAGTAAACATGCTTAATAAATGAAGTCTTTATATTGATGCACATGAGTGACAATAAAATTATAAATGTATATCCTTTTCAACACCGAAGATGATTCAAGCAGTAAACTGTCTAATACTTCAGTTTATTATTTACCTCAATTTAGGCACTCGGATAGTATCGCTGGCCTGTATATCATAAGTGACTTACGGTTGAGTACATAAACATAAGTTCAGTCAGTCAGTCAGTAACAACGTAAAACTTCGTACGTACATACATCAGTTCGAGTTGCCACACCACCTTAGCACAGTGATGCAGTGATCGATTCAAATCCCGTAGTGGTAGAGGTAATAAGAGTATAAACAGTAATCAGGAAGATTAGTGTTTGGAGATGTTATTTAAAGAGTATAATACAGTGAAATAAATTTGAGAAGAGAAAAAAAAAGAGACAAGGAGGAATAAGATGAAAATTTGGGAGAACACAAAGAGTGTATGCACCTGCGCCATTCCAAACGATTTTGAGCCATGTCATTCAGGGTTTCTAACCATCGGTTGCTATCATCTCGCGGTCCCCAACCAGGTAGTCTACACTTACAAACATGACTCAATCCACTTGTCAGTGACTTCATGGATTTGTGCCATGTTTTGGTCTGGCCGCCCCTAGCTTTCTTCCAACCTACTCCTATACCACTGAACATCGCATGTCGAGGCAGTCAGTTGTTGGGCATACGTAACACGTGTCCCAGCCATCTCACCTGATGAAGTTTCACTACGTCATCAATTGATTTGCCATCCTTACTTAGTACCCGTTTCCTAACAACTGCGTTACTTACTCGATAGTTCCAGGATATACAAGCAATATTTCGAAGACACCTATGATCAAATACTAGTAACCTACGAACATCCTCTACTCTTACCAACCATGTTTCACTGCCATAAAGTAGGACGGAACGAACTGCTGCACAGTAAAAACGTCCTTTGGTTGGTAGACGGATATCTCGCCTACGCCATAAATGACGCAAGTTGGTAAAAGCTAGTCGAGCCCTCTGTATCCGTGCTGAGATTTAGTCACACACCAGACCACAAAGGCTGGTGAGACTTCTAAGATAAGTGAAGCGATCGACACGCCCAACTACTTCACTCCCTATCATTAGTTAGGGTGTCAATGAAACCCAATTCTGAAGCAACATTTTAAGTTTCGAGGGGGAGAATCGCATCCTGAACATGCTTGCATTGTTGCTTAGAGTGGCCAGAAGACTGCATTTTGTCAGCGTCTTCACCAAATAAAACTGTCATCAGCATATCCTAAGTCAGCAAGTGAACCTCCCGTAGAAGTTCAACCCCTGGAAATTTAGACGAGGAAAGTGTTATCTCTAAAAGTACGTCGACGACAAAGTTGAACAAGAATGGGGAGAGTGGGCAGCCCTGATGAACACCACTTGAGGTAATCAATTCTGATGACAGTTCGCCATAAGCTCTCACTCGACCAGTTGTGTTCGAGTAGAGAGCCTTTACAAGGTTAATGTACTTCTATGGTACTCCTTTCAGTGACAAACACTGCCATAGAACCTTACGATCGACAGAGTCGAATGCTGCTTTAAGGTCGAGAAATACTACGATTGTGGGACGTCTGAACGTGTGTCTGTGTTTTAGAACCTGACGTAGTGTGAATATCTGGTCTATACAACCACGTCCATATCGAAAACCAGCCTGATTTTCTGTAGTCTGCTCTTCACGAGCTTTAGTTGGGCGTCGAAGTATTATATAATTTACTGAACATAAGTTCAGTAAATTAGTTATCTCCTTATTTTGTTCAAATCTGTCAAGCTTGAAATAAGATTACAAATAGAATGATAACAAACTCCAATATTTTTGGGAAAATTGAAATAAACAAGTTACTCGTGTTAAAGGTGATAATCAGAATTGTTAGAACTACTTCGATACATAGAAGCTGAAGGAGTACCCAGTCAAAAAATAAAACGTTTTGTACAACCGATAACAACTCAGTGCCATGATTGACTACTGTTAATAATTGTAGTTGAGCTTGAAGAAGAGTATACAATTAATTGACTGATGGACTAAATGATATCAATTGTATTATACTAATAAGTTCTATCAAGCATAATGACAGCTACGTATGTGCTTTTACTGGCTTCTTATTTAAGTAGACAACACGAGAACGAGTAAACTTAATTGTATATTTACTGAATCACCATACTGCAATATTATGCTAAATAAAACATTAAAACTCAAAATGCTAACCAATCCATTTTCTGACCAGGATGCAGCAAGGTATCGACCCCTATGTTGTCTGGCCCGGACTCGATTAACTGTACCTTGATGTAGGATAGTAGCCGCCTCAACATCAGGTTCCGCATCAAGATCTCCTTCAGAATCACTTTCGTCCTCTGAATCAGAATCCGTGTCTCCATTAGAATCCTGTGGGTGCCAAATAAATAAGATAAAATGACTATAGTAGTATTTTAGGAGTAAACAAATTGATACATGCTAATGTTTCACAACTGCAAATTCAATACAGTGAACGAGACTGCTTTTGTCCTCTTCTCTGCCCCACTTACTGGGGTGAAAAGAGACTGAGACCTGTTCAGGATGACTCCAGGATATCAATTGAAAATACATTTGAGTTAATCGATCACAACGCGTACACTTGTAATCGAACAAAAATCATACTAAAAATGTCCGTTAGCAGAGGTCACATTGAATAATTTACTGTCACAAAAATTCATCTAAATCGACATCGATTTCCTTTCCCATAAGTTACACTAGAGGAATGAACGTTTCTAACACGAATTTCGGAAAACAATCACATTATGCTTACAATGAAACAAAAAGAAATGAAATCCAGAAAACCAACCAAGATGTTTATATATATCGAAATATTGTTTTTTTAACATACATAAATGCTTAGGTACGGGAGGAAAGGAGTCAACCAAAGGTAAGTAGATACTGAAGGAATTCACATTACTGTTTTCAAATATAGTCAGTGACTGGGCAAACCGGTGAGATTATTTCCGCAATCAGTCATCAACGTATGTTCACAAATCGATATAAATTTATGCAATCTAATATGTTAAAAGGACATCTACCTAAATACATAGAACAGAAAGCCTGTTTGCTCTGCAGGTGATGAAACTGAAATAACCCCCCAAATATAGGTAGAACATCATTGTGTTAAAGTATTATCGTATGGAATTAGCGCAGAAAGTCTATAACAATCATGAAAATTGTAGATTTATCATTAAACTGCAACAGAAAACCACATAAGTACTGACACAAAATTATAATATCTGGGTTTTAAAAATATTTACCGAACAAAATTGAGAGCACAAAGGCAACAGGTGCATTCAAATCGGGAACGACACCAGGGATATACACTAAGCTACTATCAAATCTAGTTGTTGGTCCACCAGACCAAAATAAGTGCTTACTTTATAAACATGGTTCGGTATGTATTATAGGAATAACAGACATTTGCTTTCCACTTTATCTTCTGATATCTCAGTTTTGAGTGAAAACACAACTCGTCAAGTCCCCATATCGACTATACCACCAGTTATCAAAGAATGATAGATATAGATAAACTGTACGTCAAGTAGAACATGTAACTAAAATTTATTGGTACGGTACGCACTTAGTTTAGTAACAAAATGACTTCCTTGATTGGTTTGTAATCTGCTTACTATTAAGTTTCTTCATCACTTTTGTTTCGTTAACCCTATCAAGAAATTTTTGCCCACCAGATTTCAGACACCTAATCAACTGCCTCATATTAAATAATAAACCAAGAATTGTCAAAAACAGTAAGCGGTAAAAAGGTAATGGTGAATATTCCTTCTGACTAGCTATAAACTTCGACCTCCACTCCAAGCAAATGACTGGGTTGTGAAGGGATATATAAACTGCAAATTAATAAATACTGACAACGAACTGTCTGAAAGAGTATTCGAGAACTGAAGAGTGAAGCTAACCAACCGGACTTCCAGAAATGCACTAGAGATTGAACTTGCTGAAGCTATATTAAACCATACTACTACAGCACTCAGAATTTAGTCCGCAGATATCAGTTACCTAGGGGAAATTAAAATGGCAAAGCAGTGCCACCGTGGCACTAGAGTTGAATACTATTCCAATTCGAAATGTGATTTAAGTTGGCCAGAGGATAGAAACTTAGGTTCCAAGACACCAAGAAGTCCAACGATGATTAGAAACTATACGTATTTCTCACTTTATGACGGTCGTTTCCTAAAGGGTTAGAGCAGGATTCTACCGTGCAAATTTCACTCCTTATATTTTAAATGAGCGAACTAGTATAACAAATGCGCACTACATAACCTCACTAACAGAACCCATAAATCATTTACATCGGAATGATTCAGTCTTTTACTACACCAGTTGAGGCAATTCGGATGCTTGAACCTCATCTAAAGTTATCAAGATTCTTAACGGAATGAAACTAAATTGATCGCTAGACGTAGTATTTGTTATTTTAGTCTTGATTGCAACGAACCTTTCTTTGAACGGCAACATATTGGACAGACGCATGATTACAAGTTTGTTTTGATTATCTTTAGGTGCCTCAGTACCGGATATGAGGCAAACACTGTGAGCCTCACCATTAACTTCAACACAGCGATCAAAACCAAGGTTATCTGTTAGAATATCGAAACTGAGACTTGGAGACTCCACTTCTAATTCGAAAAACATTCTATAAGCACTTTTATCCATAACTAGCTCCTCGTCATCCTCAAGTGGACGAGATCGACCCAGAATGTAAACCTCGTTTTTGCATTCGAACCCATCTACTTCCATTAATTCATTATTTTCCTTCGTTTTTGATTTTTTGCAACTTTTTTTCCCCTCCCGATCGCTCTGTAAAGACCCTTTACTGGAATTACCACTCATCACGAGACCAGACTTAAAAGTCGCACGACTTTTCAAGGTCCACCCAATATCAAATATCTTCGTGACCGACCAATGTAAATCAAGTAATTTCCTTGAGCTAGCTTTCTGCTTCTTCGGAACGGTTTTGGGTATTTTGTGGCGCATAATTCAGAGAAGACTAGTTACTCGAATGCTCTAGTCATAGTCAGTTTGGTAGTTATATGTGGGTTTTCATATTTTGTAATTTGAGTGAAAGAACTAGTCACAGAGTTGTAGGGGTTCTGGAACCAATAGCTATTCTGTTATCAAGCAGCAAGCTATTTGGCTGCAGAGCGAAGAGTAATAAAAAGGAAAACTATCCAACAAACGTAGCAAGCAAGATAAAAAAACAGGAGTGTAAGGATGACATGCAAAGGGATATGATAAGTTTCAGTTTCAGTTTGGGAAGGACAGGAGGCTCGATGGCCTATGTTAGCCCTGGCAATGGTGGTCTCTCAGTTGATCCAAATTTCTTTTGAAAGAGTCGACGGATGGAGCCTCAACGACGTGCTGAGGTAGTGAATTCCACTCGTTGATGATTCGATGGGAAAGTCGATAGTCAGCTGACAAGTAATTTGTTCTCGGCTTGTGAACTTTTTTGGAGTGTCCTCGTAAATTCTGTTTTGGAAGACAAGAAAAATGAGGGCGTATCAGGTGCAAGTTTATCACTAAGCAATTTGAAAACTGTAATCAAGTCGCCTCTAGTTCTGCGATATGAGCTTCATACGGAAGCTTCGCTATTCCGGGAATCAGCTTAGTCGCCGTTCTCTGAACCTTTTCCAGAAGCTCACTGTCTTTTTTTAAGCAGGGGCTAGCCGCTTGTATGCAGTACTCAAGTTTAGGACGAACGAACACTGTATACAAAGTCAAAAACGTCTTAGCGTCGACATGACTAAAAGCCCTACGTATTGACCATAACGTTCTAAAACTTTTGGCGGCTATTGCACGGCAGTGTGCAGTAGTCTTTAAGTCTTGACTAACGATAACTCCTAAGTCATTATATGTCTGGACGACAGGTAGCTCAGTGTTATTCATCGTGTATGTATCTGTGCCTTGATGACCGATATGCATCACAACACACTTGGAAGTATTTATCGGCAACTGCCATGTTTGAGACCATTCAGATAACTTCTTCAGGTCATTTTGAAGTTCTAAGCTATCACTCTTACATCGTATCGTTTCCATATCTTGACATCGTCAGCATATAGCAAGACCGATGATGATAGGAGACAAGGAAGGTCATTTACATACAAGAGGAATAGCACTGGCCCCAAAACTGTACCCTGGGGCACTCCACTAAGCACAGTTTCCCAGCTAGATAACTTTGAGTTCACCCGAACTCTTTGTTGACGCCCAACTAAGAAGTCTTTTATCCACATCAATAAATTGCCTCCAATCCCGACTTTTCTTAACTTATATAACAGCCGGTTGTGCGGAACTTTATCAAAAGCTTTACTGAAATCAATGAAGGCGACGTCTACAGGTAGCTTTTGGTCCTTAAGAGCGCACCAGCTTTCACGAGCCACTAATAAGTTAGTGAGACAAGAATAACCTATTCTGAAGCCATGCTGCTTCTCCGAGAGGATCCGGTTTTTATCGAGATACTTAAACAGCTCCTTCCGAATAATCTTTTCTAATATTTTAACAACCACACTAGTTAGGCTAACGGGGCGGTAGTTCTCAGGTTTGTGTTTCGTGCCTGTTTTGAAGACAGGACTTACTATGGCGTTTTTCCAATCTTTCGGTAAGCGACCCTGCGTAACGGATAGGTTAAAGCATGTACTTAAAGGGCTTGCAACGAAGTTAGATAATTCCTTCAGTAGCCTAGGATGTAATTCATCGGGCCCCGTGGATTTACCTATGTCAAGCTTATTTAGCAGACCAAAGACATCGAGTTCTTTAATGGTCACGCTATCCAGTGTATGTATGGGGGGATCTGTATACGCTGACGAGAAGGGCGCTTCTATGGTATACACGTTGCTAAAGTAGTTCGAGAACGCTTGAGCCTTACCAAAGTCGTCCTCCACTAATGATGAAGCAGTACTGTCTCCCCATAGAGCAGGAATATTTCCTTTTCTCCTTGTCCTTTGGTTTATATAGGAATACAAGCGTTTAGGACATTCTATGGATTCCTTAACAAGTTTTTCTTCGTACAATTTTCTAGACTTACGGAGGGTCGAGGCACAAGTGTTCCGAGCCTTTCGATACTGAGATTTTGACTCATCAGTCCCCAGTAACCTAAATCTATCCCACAAGATAGGAATAATCTGATGATAAGGAGTGATAATGCTGGCGGAAAGGCTGTGAAATATTCATCGGTTTCGATTAATCTAGGCAGGAGATGGTAATCTATGGTTGGGTACATTATTGTTAAGCCTTTTGGAGCTGTCCTATGGTCAACTACCCAACAACTTAATCCGTGCCGTTAGTTCAGAGGGATTTTCACTGATTTTCACGTGGTTCTACCTGATCATCGATTACCATTTTGACTGGTTAAGTTTCAGCAGATCGACCACTGCTTGTCTCGACTTAGAATTCGAGTCAGTCTTCTCCGATTCCCACGTACATTCAAATCTTCGCGTCATCAGCACAGATGAAGGACTCTAAGCTAGTATGATTTGAAAGTTCATGAATAAAAATCACGAAGAGGAGTGGTCTTGAAACGGTTCTCTGTGAAATTATTTGTCTCAAGACTTCTGTTTATTGCATTCAGCTTAGTGAAGAAATTTTGGTTTTTCTCTGAGTGAGCGAAACTCATCTCCACGACTTTCAATATGGAAAGTTAATGTAGCAGCGTATCGAGAGCTTCTTCGAAAAAGAGAACCATTACACGGACCGGTATGTTTGGTCATAGTATGTTGTTTAGTTGTCTCGAACCAATATATTACTGAACGTGCATGGACGGCTTTTCTGAACCGATGTTTGGTTCCACGAGTGATGTCGTTCGTGTCTACATATTCCCACACTTCGTAATTAAGCAGTCCTACCATGAATAACGCGGCCGTTCTGCAACATGTTTGGTGTTTCTCTTCCCCTCCCCTCAAAACTGGATGGAAAAAAGCCTGTTTTCGTTGTGATGATTAGAAGTATTTGAATTATTATACGAACCAGGAATCCCAGAAATAACGCACTTAAGACTATATGGAACTAAGTGAGCACGAACGAACGTAATGTATGTGGAATTCAAACCCAGACACATCAAATACGAAGAAATCACTGGTTCATACAAACTGCTGAAATTCTAGTGATTGCCTCGACAAGTCACACATCGGTGTACTGGTAGACAGGATTGTCAGGTAGTTGCTATTTACCGACGACTATCTTGGGCCCAAGAATCTTGATTTTTCGTACTATCAGGATAGGCATGCCCTAAACTGTCATCTGGTTGTGGGGCGACAGAGCGTTCCGTGTACCATGTCTCTGAATACACTGAGTGATGAAATTAGGACCAAAGAATTTTTTTATTGCTAAAGTGATTATTTCTTCACCGTAAAGCCATTTAAGAGTACATGTTCATTTGTCTACAAGCTCTCATTTAATAACTAAATTATGGTGATACTTCATGTTGGCTTGTGTTTTAGTACATCAGTTGGTTTGTAAATACCTCTCGTAGCCTCATACTCCATCTATTCTGCAATGACGACTAAGGTGTGTTAACAGAATCTTCTCCGCTTATTGGATATCCCACGCCTTGCCTGATACAAGCGTTCCGTTCCTCATTTCAGCCAGGATTCACCCCCCCCCAGAAGACTTTTCAGCTTAGATGATGTGTTAGAACTAATCATCACCTATTTGTCAGTTAATGAGATTAGAAAACGTCTTCAACATTTTGATCTGAAAGTGCATTATATGATAAAAGGAGCGAGTGAAGTGATGGAGGCATAAACTATGAATGCAGCAATACATTCCTGAGTAAAGAAAATTAGACAATTCAATGCTTACGTATAACAGACTTCAGCTAGAATGTTTTTATCATTACATTACTCATGCAACTTCATTATTGATAGGACTATTGTTTAACTAATGACGATTGGAACTGATATACTAAGAACCCCTAGAATAGTCCCATTTAAGCCAGATAGAACTCCATGAGTACTAATGAACGTATATCTGGAATCCATAATAAGTGCGGAATGCAAAAAGAAATCATCACTGCATGCAGGTATAACACTGACATACTCATTGATAAAATGTTATTTTTTATGCAGTAAGAAATACTTGTTTTTTACTGAATGAAAATTGCACATATTATAAACTTATTCGCCTTTTGAATATAAACATTACAAATCTTGAGATTGCTCATCCTTTTGTTATCGAGTTCCATTTCACTAATGAGATAACTAACCGAAACTGTGCTGTCAAAATCAATGCTAGTAAGGTTTTCGCTAAACTGTATCAGTTGCAAACTTAAGGAAAACTACCCAAGTATAGAGAATCTCACGCCAGCAACTGTAGCTTTATTTGTCGCGGTGATAACTACTCTTCAATTTAAGACAATGGAATACGACAATAACACGATTTTAGAGAAAAAAAATACCAAATGGGAGGCTCTGTTACGCAACAACAATATAAGTAGGACATGTATTAAGAAGCAGAACTGATTTCTGCTACATTTAGACTGAAACAGTCCTATTTTTAAAACAATTAGTCCTATTTTCATTTTTTCAGTCATCTTTACGTATTGCGGCTATTCAGAACGAGCTGTCCATATTGCCATAGGAATGGCAAAGGACGACTTTAAATTTCTGGTTCATATACAATTTCGCACCAGATATTTTATTACAAATCCCAAATTTGTTATGCTGGCATACAATTTCTTACTGTTAGTCCAAACTCCTTTCATTCAATAGGGAAAGATTTTGGTTGAATCAAGTTCAATAATTACGGAGTACTAATTATTTTATCATTTGATTCCAGGCAACTGTCATCTGAGAATTTATCACAGATGAAAAACGGACTAGTCAAAATCCTACTATATTATTATTTATTCTGATAATGAATACTTGCACTTTGCAGGAAAAACAGAGGTTCATGGTTGAAGAGGACAAAACACGATATATAACGACTATAATGAATTGGAATTAATGGTTTCTTTTAGGTTAATTACGATTACTATGAAACACAAGTCATTATTGAATGAAAGTAGATGTGAGTTTAAGAGTTGCATAACTTACATCTATTTAGTTAGACGGAAAAACTACCATTCGAAAACTTCTACTTATATAGGCAATCAATAAACAAATTGGAGAAAGGTTTTTGTATTTAAGCCACATCAAGTATTACGGGAAAAATTGAAGAAATAAACCAATAATTAGGAGAACATGCATAATTTCGAGTAAAATTTCAACTAATTTCTAGATACAGCGAAGATAATATACAAATAAAGAAAATGAAGTTAATCGAAAAAGGAAGCAAAGCAACATTATACTAACTCGTATGGTCAGAAATTAAGAAGTACAGTGCATTTTGGAGTATACAAAAAGTCTAACACATACTATCAACCTTTTTTTTGAAGAACTGTACTTAACACAGTGTTTATGTTGAAATTAATATTGCCTAAGAAAAATAGATCTTAGGCACTGATCAAACAATTTTAAATTTGGGTAAAAAAGAACCTAATTTTGAGGATTATGAATATGTAGAAACGTTCACAACCGATCGTTGCTGAAAAAAATACACTAAAAGTCAAATTCACGACAGAATTAGCCACATTGCACTTATTATCATGTAAACAATGATACAGAAATTGATTGCAAAATTTCAATGATATTTTTACAGTTTGACACTTTGGATATTAACCCCATATTAAATCAGATTTTACTAATATTATTCACCTCTCAATAAAAATGAAATGATCAAATGTGGAAGTAAATTTTTAGACAAAATGTTTAGTTTATTCTTCAAACTGCTGGTTGTAGTCCCAAATGTTGAAGTTGTGCACGTAAATTAACTCGCTGATCATTTAACTCAGCAAGTTCACCTTGCATTTCATTATTTAAACGAAGTAACGTATGATTGACCGATTTGGCTTCCCGAATAAGTGAAGACAAAAGACGACGTCGACGACTACTAGATAATTCAGATAAAAACGTTTTTCGATGGCCAGTGACTGCAGATAGTAATTGGATCGGATCAATATATCTAATTAGAAGATGAAGGAGGAAGTTAATCGTAATAGAGAGGTTAAGAAGAAACGGTTTTTAAAATGGGACTTTAAATTATGTGTGGGAGATGGGATATTTGATATTATGTTTGTAAAGAACACAAATTATTTGGTCATTTATTCAACAAAAAAACACAATATATGCTTAAACCATACCATTCAACAATCTCCACAGGGACATACGCTTATATCATTAAGGGTCCCTGCTGTTTTGTTGTTAATCAATTTCTGTTCCCATATATGGATCTTTCAGCAAATAGTTTCGACATAGCTCTTTGAAAGATACTAGACTCGAGTCTCAGTCTAAACGTTAACACTAGGATGCATGTACATACATCTGACGAGTAACAAACAAGAGGGGACGTGAGTCCTGGATTTCAGTTATGACCACATACCAAATATCTAAAAAGGCAAACACTGTTCAGAACTGGAAAATATAATATTTAGCATAAAGGTGTATCAATAAAATGTGAACTTATGGCTCGAATCCATATGTTGATTACACTTGAACAATATACAGGGAATCAGAAACATAAGATTCTAAAGTTTAAACACGCGATTTTTATATTACAGCCTACTTTTTTGAAAGAAGCGGGTAATAAGTTGTTATTACACGGAAATATAAGGGATTGTAGACGTCCTTAGCTAACTTAAAAGAGTATTAATCAAATAACAGGAGTTCCACTTACCAAATGAGGAAATGTAACATGAAGTCGTTGACAATTGAACTGAGCCCTATAAGTAGGTGGAGATCACCCTGTTGGTGTCCCCGTGTTTTTCATAAGCGAATGTCCGGCGCTTTAACCGGATTGATGGATACGGATGATCCACCTAGAGGAGTTGGAAAAACCTGATTCCAAACCAATAGTGCACATGGGCTTCATTATCCTGAAGAAACAAATGGCGTATGAACCAATCGTTGGTCACCGGCTACCATGTGACTGCGTCTCCCCATGATGCTCCACTGCCTTGTAGATCAGGTCAAAGGTTCGGGGTGTGGCCCCCTAAGAACACCATCTGCTTCGGTTTGGGCACCCGGGCAGTATCACAGCCCTCACACAAATCGAATAGTGAAGTGTGGTGCATATCTGTTTGGTGCCTCCTTGTACCAATGTTTATGTGTTTAAATAATAATAATAATCAGTGAGAGGAGCTGACGACCACACGCTATTGATTAAGATTAGGTTTAACTCACTCAGGAAAGACATAGACTATTAAGTTGAAAATGTAGTTTGACTTCTTGAGGGGTATGTATGTACATTTATGAATGGGTTGTCCATAGATTTTTTATTCGGGTTAGCCAATGAAAGCTCCTGTAATCTTCTTACTCCAGTGAATGGTTGGGATCGCACATAAGATTCACAGCCAGTTATTCTGTGGACTCTGAAAATTGCTGGATAGTTTTCAATATATATGAAGATGACATCAGCATAGTAATGGCAGTTCAATTCAGTATAAATGTAATTCAAAGGCTACAGCTCTGTTTACATTTTTTTTAACAGTTTAGAACACTAAACACTTTGAATCTGCCTTACAGCATTTCACAGAGCAATCTACAAAAATTTCACTTGTAAACTAATATATTTATTAATGTATTTCCACAAAGTAGATTAAACACTGTAGATCAGCCTAGCCGGGGTTGGTTTTCCTCTACTCAATAGCTATAAGAAAGTCTTGTTCTGTTAAAAAGCATTGTAAAGGAAAAAATTATATTCTAATAATAAGTTCTTCATTATATATCTGGTATATATGAAAATTAACCAGGATTTGAACGAACAGTTTTGGTCCACGTGTTGAGTATTTGATACTTTTAATTGTAAAGAATGACTATTAACTAGATCACAATCTCACTTCAACCACGATTAACTCAAAGTCGGAAAATATCAGAATTTTCTATTATAAACAGTAGTTATTAAGAGAACTACTAAGTCTGAAAAATTAAAATATCCTTTTTCAACAAACAACTAAGATGATAAGACACAGATATTCAAGATATCAAAAATACAGACAAACAGTTAATAATAATAATAATAATGATAATAATAATAATAATAATAATAATAATAATAATAATAATAATAATAATAATAGTGAACAGTGTCATCTTACGGGTTATTTGTACTAGTCTTTTCACTTGATAAATGCACTGAATCAACAGAACCACTAATTTCAGACGACGAAAATGGTGATGCAGATAATCGTGAGGAGGATGGATTGGAGGATGAAGATGATGACGAAGAGGAGGAGGAACTACCAACAATTCCAGTTGAAGATGAAGACTTACTATAACTATCACAACTAACAACAGGACAGTGTGACAAGTTTTCAAATGAATTATAATATAAACTTTTAGAATTAGTCTCAGAAATACCAAAGGCAGAATCCATATTCAAGGAATAAGAAGAATCATCAAAAACAATTGGGTTTCTTTTATTAAAAATGTCTATCGCAGAGTGTTGTTTCAGCAATGGATTATTTATTGAATTATATTTTGAATCATTATTCAGTGAACCAGTGGCGCATAAATATTCTAGGTGAGGAAGGTCGAATTGATTACCTTTTATAAATTGAAATTAAGTTTACGTTGAGAAATGGAGGGTAAAATTAAAACAATTGTCAAATATATTACAGAATAATGAACTCGAAAGTAAAATAGCCTTTTAATTTTTGCTTTCTAAGCAAAATTATTTGTCCATGTAACTTTTGCATACCGACGAAAAATCTAGTATATCCATTCAGTCATAATCAATGTGTGACCTTTTGTAAAAGCGGATCTGGTCAAGTTGCCAAACTAAATCAACACAATAAGATGAAATTCTCACATTAACCAACATTTTTCATCGAGTTAGGCAATAGTTGGGCAAGCATTAACTACCCCAGTCGATGAAGATTCATATCCTCATCAACCAACGTCCGATCTTTACCAAGTGCTCCACATCTAACCTCGTCACTGCTTACTTTGCAGATCCGCCAAACAAGAGGAAAACTTTGAAGACACTTGCGATCACATGCTCGAAGTTTGTGTATGTTTGAAACCTTCGTAGACAATTTTATCCAACTGTAAAGGAACCCAAGGCATTTTGAGTGGCACAATATGAACCTTTCCCTCAATAGATGGACATTTCCTGTACACAACAGGTGACACAAATTAGAGAAAGCTAGATGAGCTCCATAAATCTGTACCGAAACTTCGCCATATGTCAGCTCGTCAGAACTGATAAGGCTTTCGAAATAAGTGAAGTGCTCAACATGCTTCACCGCCTATGGTCATAGTAATTTTTGGTGAAGATCATTGTTGAAGAAACATTTACATTCATAGAGATAACATTATATCGCAAACATGCTCACATTGTTGTTTAGGGAGATCAAAAAAGGATTTTGTCAGTGGTGTCGCGAAACATAATTATGTCATCTACTTATTCTAAGTTCATAAGTGAGTATTTACCAAAAGCACTGAACTAAATGCATAACTCAAATGGGAAAGAAATAAGGATAAAAATAGAAAGGACACTAATGTGAAGGCGATTCTAGGAGATACATTCGAAAAATCTTTGAAAACTTTTTAATTACCTATTCAGGTAAAAACAAAGGAGAATTACAGTACTCTTGTCACTAGTTTCGAATGGGTCATGCTAAATAACATTTTATTCACATGATTTCAGGAACTTTGTTCATGAATTATGAATTTACCAACTTAAACAAACGTAACATAACTAGCCATCGCCCCACGGTTTCATGTCACAAACCAGTTACATTTGAGGTTCTTCTGATCAGACCAAATAGCTAACAAACGTTAATTAGTATGAAAGCAGCTGAAACATCAGAGTAAAACCATTGTACAAAAAATCTAACGAGAAATGGCTCAGTGGTTAAAGGCTTCGACGTTCAACCAATCAGTTGCAAACTCAAACCCACCCTTGCCGTCATTACATGAACCGTCATATAAGGATATTCAAAGTAACCAATTCTCAGTCCATTTTAACCACCTGCAGGATACCACAAAATTGCTTGGTTACTTTAATTATTATCAGTACTGATACCAGAAATTAATAAAACTATTTCTTATTCTTCTTTCATAGTTACTTTACAATTCCTAATGACTATAAAATGAGTTAGCCCATATTCGAATTGGAATTTGTCACTTCATGAGATTCGTCCTATAGTAGTCTGGCAAACTTATATTAATGGTGTTATACGTATGCACATTTTAGTGCCATCGAAACGAAAATTATATTCCACGTATTTGTTCGGAAGTGACAGAGTAATTGTCATTCCAATAAACACTGTGAACAACACATCCAGATAACTATTATTTGTTACACCATGTAAATGAAAATGATAGAGAGAATGTTCAACAATCATAGTAGTCTCATCAAAGGTAATACTTATCAGTAATCTTACGACATTTCATGTTTATCATATGAATTGTGAAATATACTGATAGTGTTTTATTTATTCATTTATTTGAACACATAAATATTGGTATAAGATTGCGCCAAATATATATGCGCCACACAAAACGATGGGAATTTAAAGAGAAGGAAAAAGAAAAATAAAATTGAGGAGGGTAAAAAAAGAACAATAAGGAAGAGATTGGTGTAAGGTAGTATAATAATAATAGTGGTAATAATGGGGGAACGGAAATGTACAATCAGAAGAAACCCTTCACTTAAAGAAGATACAACCATTTTTTTATGAAGAAAGTAAAAGGTTACAGCAGGATCGCCACTGGCTTCTATTCTGAGCCATATCTGATAACGTCTCTAGCCACTGTGTTGCACCATCTCTCGGACCCCAACCAAAGAGTCGTGAAGGACCAACAGAAGCCAACCCTTTGCAGCTTTCTTTCATACCCCAACACCATGTCATACACTGGCCACCTCTCCGCTTTCTCCAACCAGTCCCAGAGTCGGCAAATAATGCACGACGTGGAATTATCTGGGACGACATTCGTAGAACATGTCCCAGCCACCGAAGTTGATGTTTCAAGATGGTGACACCAATCGCATTATCGTCTCTGTGCCCGAACACACGATGCCGAACCTCTGCATTACTGACATGGTGTTGCCACTGGATGTCAGAAATCCTTCGGAGACAGCGATGATCGAACATAGAGAGTCGTCTAACGTCCTCAACTTGGAGAGGCCAGGTTTCACAAGCATAGAGCAAAACTGCTCTCACCGACGCGTTGTAGATCCGACCTTTTACAGCCAGACTAACATCACAAAGGCGCCAAAGGTGGCCCAGATTGGCATAAGCCGCTCTGGCTTTCACTATACGTGCATTGATCTCATCACTCACACCCCCACCAGCACTTATGCAGCTACCCAGATACACGAACTTCTCGACTACTTCTATCTGCTCACCATCCAGGGTGAGTACAGGATTAGAATCCTGCCAGTCTTGTAGAAGTACTTTGCACTTCGAAGGTGCAAAGCACATACCATACCTACGGACACTGATTGCCAACTGATTAAGTGCGGATTGCATGCCTTGGGCATTATCGCACAGTAAGACAATATCGTCCGCATACTCAAGGTCGAGAAGTCTTTCTCCAGGCAACAGATCCACACCACCATTGCCTACATTCATCAGAGCTGTTTCCAGAATGTCATCGATGGCAAAGTTGAAGAGGAATGGTGAGATTGGGCAACCCTGCCTAACCCCACTGCTCGAATGGAACAATGGAGAGAGGTGGTTGTATGCCCTCACTCTGCCTGAGGTGTTTGTATATAGGGACTTTAGGATGTTAATAAACTTCTCAGGCACACCCTTCTTCAATAGACAATCCCAGAGAACAGTCCTGTCCAACGAATCGAAGGCAGCCCTGATGTCAAGAAACACTACGATTGTTGGCCTTTGATAAGTATGGCGGTGTTCTAACATTTGGCGGAGGGTGAAGATATGATCAATACATCCTCGACCAGAACGAAACCCAGCCTGCTCCTCGCGAGTCAATCTTTCTCGGGTTTTGAACAACCTACGAAGTATGACGGAAGCCAATAGCTTGGACGCAATCGGAAGTAGACTTATCCCCCGATAGTTGTTACAGGAACGACGTGAACCCTTTTTAAAGATAGGGACAACTATCGACTCATTCCATGACGTTGGTACACTCTCTAGTTCCCAAACCTTTGTAAACAACGTCGTCAATTCCTTAGTCAAAAAGTCACCACCATCTTTAAAAAGAGCCGGAGGTAAGTCATCTGGGCCAGGTGATTTGTAACGCTTCAAGAGTTGGAGTTCCTTGCGGACTTCCTCCTCATTTGGTGGATCAGTCGTCACCGGCCATGGAGGGCAGGACAGTCTGACCGATGTTGCCGGAGCAGCAGGCCAGTTGAACTGCCCTTCGAAAAATTCTGCCCATCGTCCAAGACGTCGATGGATGTTAGTGATTGGCATCCCATCATCCTCGCAGATTGTTTCACTCACACCAGACTTCTTGCTGCCAGTGGCTCGGATGAGTTGGAAGAGCTTCCGGTAATTACCAGATGCAGCTGCTGCTTCCAGCTCATTAGCACGCTTCGACCACCAGGCTTCTCGGTCCTTACGCAAGCTTTGCCCAATTTCCTTACGTAACATCCTTCGTTTATGGTCAAACTCACGGTCACCCGGAGTAGACCGACGGGCTTCAATGAGTTGTAAGGAACCTGAAGAAACCCAGTGCTTAAAGCGGGACGTTTCGCAAACCCACAACTGACTGTTCCCGCCATTTTCATGGCGTCATGCAATTGCAACCAATGCTCATCTATACTTTTCGGTGGAGTGGTAGCTAGCCTAGAGGCTAGCTCGGTTCGATACTTACTTGCAACAGAAGTTGCTAACATCAATCCATTGGTGGCGGTCACTTCGTTGTCCACTGAAAAGTAAGGTAAGATTGGCGCAGACCAAGGCATGGTCAGAGTCCAGATAGGTACTCCAAAAGGAGCGGCAGTCTTGTACACAACCACGCCAGCGGTAGCTGATCGCGATGTGATCAATCTGAGTCCAGGCTTGAGATGCAGAGGGAGGACGCCAGGTGGCACATCGGCGATGACTGTGCCGAAAGTTAGTGCTAGCCAGAAACAGGTTGTGGTCTGTGCACAGTTGCAGTAGACGGTCCCCGTTATCTGACCTGCGACCAACAAGTCCCCATCGGCCACCTAAACGACTCTCTTCTGTGCCTAGACGCCCGACCTGAGCATTCAAGTCTCCGGCTAGTACTACAATATCTGTCGAACGCACTTTCTGGAGAAGAACAGATAACTGGTGGTAAAACTCATCCTTGATTGCATCCGGGCTGCAATCTGTCGGGGCATAGGCGGAGATGACGAAAAGACATCGTTTCTCACGCCGATTTCTTCTCACTTTGATGGAACTTTCTAATCTAACAGCACATAACCGACTGTTAATGGGGATCCAATCGACTAGTGCTGCCTCAGCTCTAGCGCTTAGTGCGACACCAACGCCAGCAAGACCAGACGAAGATGCCACAGGGTCCCCGGATAAGCGCACGTAAAACAAGCTTTTCGAAGCGACAGATGGAGATCGAATTTGTAGTACTTCGCCAGAGTCTTGAATACGGGTCTCGGATAGACAGCAAACATCGATATTAAGACTTTCTAAAGACATAGCCAGCCCTATCCGTTGTCCAGCCTGCATAAGTGCGCGAAAGTTGAAGGCAGCCAGTTGGAATGGTGCACATGGTTTAAGAAGAACTGCTTCAGCACTTATATTCGGTGGTAACATACAATTTTCAACCGGACAGTGACTCGAGAACGTTTAGATAGTGTCAAATTTCCACAAAAGACGAGCTGCTGTATAGGTCGAAAAAATAAGTATAAACAGAGTGGGAATATAAGAGGGTGAATAATGACGTATTAAATAATAATAATAATAATAATAATAATAATAATAATAATAATAATAATAATAATAATAATGCGAGTTACTTGATTGTTATTTGGAGCGAGAGGAATATTTTTCATAAGTAGATAGTTTATCATGTTTTTGTGTGCGGGCTGAGATACTGCCCGGGTGCCCAAACAGAAGCAGGTGGTGTTCTTAGGGGGCCACATCCCGAGCCTTTGACCTAAAGGTCTAACCCACAAGGCAGTGGAGCATCGTGAGGAGATGCAGTCCCATGGTAGCCGGTGACCAACGATTGGTTCATGCGCCATTTGTTTGCGCAGGATACTGGAGCCCATGTGCACCATTGGTTTGGGATCCGGTTAAAGCGCCGGACATTCGCTTTTCGTCCTCTCATTTTTGTAAACAACACCCCTGCTACGAGAAGGCAGTGAGTAGGACTTCCCTGGCAGAGGCTGTATACGCATGGCCGTGTGAGAGTATTTCGAGAGGGAGGGCGAACCCACCCTGCTCTCGGCCATACCAGATCCCCATCATATTAAAAGATAAATATATGAACGAAGAATATTATTTTCGATAAATTCTACAATTATATATCCAAATTGATAATCTGTAAAGTATCCAGGTCTAGGGCACACTGCATCGTTCAAAGTTATAACATGTGAATTTAGGATTGTTAAGCAATATAGAATTGGTAATGTTGATATGATTCATGGAATGTTAACTTGAATGAACTTATATGTTAAGTGAGATTTTACGATTCATCCTATCTCATCCATATTTATTCGGATCGTAAAATCTCACTTAACATATAAGTTCATTCAAGTTAACATTCCATGAATCATATCAACATTACCAATTCTATATTGTTTAACAATCCTAAATTCACATGTTATAACTTTGAACGATGCAGTGTGCCCTAGACCTGGATACTTTTCAGACTATCAATTTGGATATATAATTGTAGAACTTGACGAGAATTTATCAAAAACAATATTCTTCGTTCATGTATTAGTCTTTCAAATATACTGATCATGAAATTCCCATAGAAAAAGCAAATAGTCGTTACAAGCATACCTTTGGCTTCAGACTTCCTTAACCTTCTAATAATTTTACTGATATAAGGTTTGCAAGCACCAATGGCATCATCCAATGATAAACCACGATGACCAAGCAAATGTGCTAAATGACTGGCTAAACAAAATTCAGCTTTATCTAAATAATTGTCCCGATTGATATCAGCAGTTAACCTAATGAAAAGTATGAGCGCACAAACAAAAAAGTATCAGTTATACGTCGATAAATAAACAAGTTTTAAAAATGACCAAAATGCTCTATGTAAGTTCCGTCGCATTTGGAAGTTTTTTTTTTCTCTTTCAAAAATCGATCTGATGAGTACTAGGAAACCGTTAAGACAGATTATGTTGCATGAAGAAAAGCCTGATGAATTTTGATCTAAACGACGAATATCTTGATGTCTTTGAGGATGTGGTTGGGACACATCAAAAGTTTGAGGAACGCGATATTTCCGATGAAACTCCAGTTTATTATTCATTACCACAAATAACAAAGCATCATTCACTATTTGTAAGAGGTATCTGGTGCTAACATGACTTATTATTTGTTGTCGTACACTATTAAGCTATTATTTTAATCTTACCTCCTATCGTCACTATAGTTCGCACTGAGAATCAGGGTAGATACTTAATATTATTTGGAATTGATCCAGTTACATATATCCATATGCTAGTAATCATGGAAATTCAGAATTAGCATATTAGCACAATGAGATAAGATTATAACGACAGGTGTCAGAGTAGTGGAAGTAATAACAGTATCAGTAGTAGTAAAATATTAGGTATCTAGAGAGAAAAAAGGGAGGAGGAAAATTTCCGAGCTCAGTATCTGAGGGAATACAAAGGGTGAATGCACATGAGTCATTCCGAATGACCCTAAACTGTCACTCAGTCTCCAAACACCGGTTGATCAGTCGTAATATAGAACCTGGTATGTATGTATATCGGTTCAGGTTGCCATACACTATCAGCATAAAGAATTAAGATTGTTACGCCAAATCCAAGAATGGTAGGAGTGAAATGAACGAGACTTGAGTGGGGACAACCATTTTATTATTTCAAAGAAAATTACGAGATATTTTCGTAAAATATGAGGACCATACATTAAATGCTTCATTTGCAAATCTTCCATCAATTGTCCTGTACATTCTGTCAGATTCTTCAAATTCACAATTCCTTTCTCTTTCCCCTTCTGTTTTCTTCAATTTGATTCTCTTAGCATTCTGTTACCAGTCATTTAACCTCGAACTGATGCTGATGCTATATACTACTTACGTCTGTCAAAATAAATGGCATACACCACAGAGATGACAACATTACTAGTGGCGATTGAGAAGACCAGGCATCAAAGAAACGACTCAAGAAAATATAAATTAGCGAAGAATTCAGAAACTAACAAAAATAATGAATCCGTCTGAGCCATTGCAAACGATTTTCAGCCATATCACTCTAAGTCACTAACCATTGATTTTTATTACTCATCTATTTAAACACATAATCATTGGTACAAGGAGGCACCAAACAGATATGCACCACACTTCACTATTCGATTTGTGTGAGGGCTGTGATACTGCCCGGGTGCCCAAACCGAAGCAGATGGTGTTCTTAGGGGGCCACACCCCGAACCTTTGACCTGATCTACAAGGCAGTGGAGCATCATGGGGAGACGCAGTCACATGGTAGCCGGTGACCAACGATTGGTTCATACGCCATTTGTTTCTTCAGGATAATGAAGCCCATGTGCACTATTGGTTTGGAATCAGGTTTTTCCAACTCCTCTAGGTGGATCATCCGTATCCATCAATCCGGTTAAAGCGCCGGACATTCGCTTATGAAAAACACGGGGACACCAACAGGGTGATCTCCACCTACTTATAGGGCTCAGTTCAATTGTCAACGACTTCATGAACTGATGCCAACCTTTAGTTTGACCATCCCTAGCTTTCTTCTAGACGAAGTACAGACTTGTGTGTTAGGCTCTAACCCACATTTTATGTGTAGCAAATAGTAATACTAGCCAGCTTTTTTTAAGACGAAGTATGTGTTGTGGTGATCGAATTCGCAACCAAATAGTTAAGAATCGAGTTTGTTAACCACTAAAATAATGTTTGATGCTTTGCCAAATAGTAATTCCAAATCCTACATTCCCTATCCTGATTAGGGTGCATGATTTCGACATCTAGTTCTTAATTGGAAAGTACCTAAAAGCCTAGTGGAAACCTTTACTTAGCTATTGAGGAGCAACAATTAATTATTTATTACAAATAAGCCAAACGTTCTCTTCTTCGAGATTTCGAATCAGATAAAAACCACTGCTTACCAAATATTGTCGAAATCAACTGACGAGATTTTATATTGAGCTGTAAATAATTGCGTTACTTCCGAGCGTGTTACTACCAAATGGCAATTAGTAACAAGGTTATCAATGTTTTTTGAAATAAAGAACTCATCAAACTGTGATGCGTATTCAGCTTCTCTCTTTGATTGTAATGCGAATGATGATAACCATTTAAGATGTTTTTCTTTACGTTTTTCATTTCGATTACAATAAGTGTTATTATATTGTGAGAATGGGAATGAAGAGCTACGATAGTGTGATACTTTCCATTTGTTAACTTCAGATTTTTGGTCACTATTCAGTGAAAACTGATATTTGTTCTGAGAATTTGTACGTTGAGAATCAGTGTTCTGTAAAGCTTGATAAGTTATTGGAAAAATACGTAATTTTGATGAAGTGTTCAGTATCAAAAATGTGGAAAACGCTAATTCTCGTATTAAAAGTTGAAGTAAGCAACAAAATGGTATGTACTAACTAAAAACGTTTTGAACGTGTTTAAACTGGAGCAAACTGAATTTGAATTATTGAAATAAAAGAGTTAAACACTGGTTTGTGTACAAATGTAACTGCAAAAGTAATTCAGGTCAATATGCCAGGTAATTTATCAAATTTATTATTTGGAAATGATCTATTACATCCGGAGAATACAGAGTGACGTCAGTAGAACTGTATTTAGAAGATACGGAATCCAATAAGTGGTCTACGTTACTACGCCTTATAATATAACAGGTAATATTAACAAGAACGAAAAATGTTAAAACGCAAAATACAAAAAAAGAACATTAGTATTACTTCGGTTGGTTAGTTAGTGGGATTTCAAAAATTCAATAAAATTTACACACAAAGAGATTATACCCAACTTTGATGACTACAATAATGTTTGACGATTTGTTTATACATTTTTCTTGTGCGTTGGTGAATGTGAATAAAAAAGTCTTTTATTTCTATTCATCCTACTTCAATAGTGTCGACTAATAATTCCTACTATATATGACTTTCAGACGTACTTACTACTGTGGCTTGTAACATTCTGTATGATTGTAGTTACATGTATCGAATCACAGTCCTAATCTTCTATTACCCCGTTTTGAACTTTTACGATGAATTATACAGATAGATTTAGTTTCATTTTACGATTATATGTTACTCATATTCCCAGCTACTTTACATATTTCTCTACCAATTTGTTGCATTTTATGGGAGGATCGCATTCATTTTCTGTATATTTTTTAGTGGTTGTATGGACCTGAAAACCGAAAACAGTATAAAGTCTATAAGATTATTTTAAGGGTTCTGTTAAATCATGATTTCATACATCGTCAGAAGAGGTGGTCAACAATGTGCCCTAGACAGTATCAACCACCGAGTGCACGAATTACTCAGTTTATAAGCTACAAGTACGTAATTTTATCATTATACTTCATTAACCTATCTGTAGAATAGATCGTATATATTTTAGTACTCAGCAGGGTGTTCATAAAACTACAATATGTCTCAGTGATGACTAACATCAGTTACTAAAATACATAAAATACATTACACATCGTTTTGTCACTTCAGATAATTGAGTTAGACAGCTCCCTTAAGTATATTTTTTTCTTAACGAAGGGTTAGTGAAGACCAGTGCTGTTAACGATATTTCAGACAAAATATACAGATTAAAAAGACAGTCTATGACAATAAGCAGTTGGACAAAGCAAAAGTTGATAGTTGATCTGAAATATGTATTTGCGGATCTAAATTCTGATTGCCTCTACACCACGATTAGGGTGATTGGCATAAAACTACAACATATTCAAGGCACTGATGTGTAGTGTTTACAGTCAAACCACAGATTTTTAGCGTGTAGTATTCAAAATCACATAATATACTCTGGAGGAAATTAATTTTGGCATGGATTAATGGTATATGTTTGAGAGTAGCGTAGAAACCATCACGCCGAATTGTAGTTGGGAATAGCTACAATACGACAAAGATAAAGTTTACTCGATGCAAAGAGGAAAATATTAAAAAGTATGACATTAAGGAATAACCAGTTACATTAATTTCGGAAGAAAATTATTAGAAATAAATGGAAAAGATAAATTGCAATACATTACATAGGGAAATGATGTAACGAATGAAAGTTGAAGTCGTTGAATTACTGCCTACGTAGAGGTTTAGTACACGACTTCGATTTCTACTTTTTGTGTGGGTGATATTGATACTACTTGACTTCCTAAACTGAAGTAGGTTGGGGGAAGGTTTGAACTTGGGACGCAATGGTTGAAAGTTGGATGTTTCAGTCTCTAAGCCACCGTTCTCAACGACAGTGCTTTAGAAGAATTGGGTTGGGTCTGATTTATAATGGCCTAATGGAATACATTACTTCAAACTAATAGTAGGTATGTAAGTAGCAAAATAATAAATATTCCATAGAATTTGAAACGAGAAGTAAAAACAATAGAAGGTTTTTATCAAAATCAAAATCAGGTTAAATGAAGAACAACGAGTTACAAACTAATTAAATGTAAACTAATAACACGTATGATTTAGGGTTTGTATTCAACTTAGGTGTTATTAACACAGAAATTCGAATGTCAACCTCAACAATATCAACTTACAATGATCTGTAGAACTCCCTTTTGGTTGAATTCCACTAAGCTGATCAGATGAGTGATCGGGTAAATCTCGATAACTCCATACACTGGCATCATGTAATTTCTTGATGTTTTTACACTCTTCAATAGTGCTAGCAAAATAAGTAGACGAGTTAGAGTCCTGAGAAGTAACAGTACCAGAAGATCGGGACGATGAGTAATCGGTGTTTAAATGTACGCCTTTCCGGAATGACTTGTCTGGAATCCACCAATCGGAATTTCCGGGAGTTTTGTTTTCGTTATCGTAGGAGACAGAATTATCAGGTTTGATAGTTTCCTCCGTTAAAAGACCTGAGAAAAAGACACGTAGAACAAATTCTAATAGAAATAGAATAGCCATAGACAAAAACTATAAGATTCAGATAAATTAAGTTTCAGATACTAGAGTTGTTAAATAACTTGACTGAAATTCAGACATTTTGGCATCCCGATGGTTGTCCTAAAACCTACAATAAACCGATAGGTCGAGCGGTTGGTCAGAACTTATCATTATGATACATGGATGCAACATTACCACAGAGAATGTGTTGCTCAGTATAACGCAGTGGTATCTACATGCATGTACGCAAGAATGTTTGACAAAATAATTTTACTGAAATAAGATAACAGCATAACAATAGGAACGTACTTTGTTTTATTTAGAATTCGTAATTTGAGTGGCTCATTAAAAATTCTAAAAGCTCCACTTAAATTCAAATCCACGAACTATTCGTCTATGCCATTCACTAAAATATAACTAGTCCTACGAAGGCGAGAGCAAGTACGTAATGTAGCTTACATCGGCGTCCTGGTCGATATCCCAAGTCACCTATCGTTGGAGTGTACACTTACTGCCATAAGTTTTCATGCTTTATATTTTTGTTGATTATACATGGTAACTACATATACTCAAAGGATTTCCTTAATATATACAACTTATAGCGGATCACACTACTCAGAAATTCAAGATGAACCACCGGCGTCTACTAATCTATCCTTTAGAGAAAGAAAAGGGAACCACCATGACGATCCTAACACCAAATATAATGTACAACGAAAAGTGATGCCATGGAAACAAGACTGGTCGTAAACATTTGTGGATATATATATATATATATATATAGCTGAAAATAAAACGAGTTCTCATATTGCATACTATGTGCTGAGTATTTTTTGCCATAATTAAACATGGGATTGAATAGAGATTATCGTCACCCTATTGTCTCGCATTGTAGACTATATATTTGAGGCACGAACATTCCAAAGTCCTGTTTTACATATGCTTTTAATTCTTGTAAGTTCATCAAGTTGATATAATATTTATTTAGTTAGACACATAAACATTGGTACAAGGAGGCACCAAACAGATATGCACCACACTTCACTATTCGATTTGTGTGAGGGCTGTGATACTGCCCGGGTGCCCAAACCGAAGCAGATGGTGTTCTTAGGGGGCCACACCCCGAACCTTTGACCTGATCTACAAGGCAGTGGAGCATCATGGGGAGACGCAGTCACATGGTAGCCGGTGACCAACGATTGGTTCATACGCCATTTGTTTCTTCAGGATAATGAAGCCCATGTGCACTATTGGTTTGGAATCAGGTTTTTCCAACTCCTCTAGGTGGATCATCCGTATCCATCAATCCGGTTAAAGCGCCGGACATTCGCTTATGAAAAACACGGGGACACCAACAGGGTGATCTCCACCTACTTATAGGGCTCAGTTCAATTGTCAACGACTTCATGAACTGATGCCAACCTTTAGTTTGACCATCCCTAGCTTTCTTCTAGACGAAGTACAGACTTATGTGTTAGGCTCTAACCCACATTTTATGTGTAGCAAATAGTAATACTAGCCAGCTTTTTTTAAGACGAAGTATGTGTTGTGGTGATCGAATTCGCAACCAAATAGTTAAGAATCGAGTTTGTCAACCACTAAAATAATGTTTGATGCTTTGCCAAATAGTAATTCCAAATCCCATACGTTTTCAATGGTGGTCTAGCTTAGGTTTTTTTTCATTTATCCACTAGCGCTGGTAGGCTGAAAATCGGGCGACATAATAGGCTCCAACATAATTTTGTATGGAATATGATCTAATCTGACCTGAATCCTGCTAACAAAATCCCTAGATGTTAATACAATAAGCAAGAAAACGTTTTTCCTAGATTGGGATACATTGGTTTTACAAAGTCTGATATGCTGAAACCCTAGGAGGTGGAGTGTAGCTTCTAGTGATGATCTGCTGGTTGAAAGTACAGTGCTTCATACCTATGCAATCACGGTATTGCAAAATAACTTAATTATTATTCAGTTAAGTTTGAATGAATGTAATTAGCGAACTCCTTGAAAATAGCAAATAATTGGAATTATATAAAAAAATTATCGATCATCTGGGAACATAAATTCTTATGCAGGAAGAACCTTTACAGCAATCGGCAGTTTATAAGCTTTCCACTGATACTGTTACTAGCTCTACAGACGTAGTTTATCCAGATTATTCCATCTCTCTGGGATGATATGATGTAGTAACTTCAACTGATGGACATAATTGCCAAGTTATATCTTGTATATGACCGTGCCACTGACTGCGATTCATAAGGGGTGGATGAAGAATTTCTATCAACAGTAAGTTAAGAAGATATTTCCACCAATCCCAAGTAAATTAATTGTTTTTAGTTTATATAGGTAACCTTTCAAGACCGAGACAGTAGATACACCTAATTTGTTCTTCCAAGATTTAGGTTACTTATACTTTATGATTATTGTGATATCGTGTGCACAAGATGGAAAGAAAGAATTTTACGATTCCTCGAATCAGTAAACGATCGTGAAGCCTTACGAAAACTTGTTTGGAAAGATGGGGATTCTCCAACAATGGTTTAATGTTTAGGGCACTCGAATTTTAATCGTTGGCTTGGTAATTTGGACTTCAATTCCACAACTTTGGTCTATGTAATCACGAAGTATTATTAACCTCCGTACAAAGTTTTTAATTTAAAGTTGAACACAACAACTTGTGCTTAATCCCTGATTTACATTATTACCAAAGTACTTTAAGTAGTTGTAAACGGTTTTAGGTATAGTAAATTTACTAGAGGGTTACTAATTATAAAATTATGTACTGACAATAATTTGATTTCTGTTCACTTGACCTTCACATTAATTCAATGTAAGTTTTATTGAAACAGTGTGATTTTCGTAACAAATTATCTACTTAATAATCAGTGGTCAAATCCCTGCATAAATGAATGTATTCGGACGATTAATTTCTCTTCTTGAATTTCTACCAGTGAGTTTTTCGAACAAACTTAGATTTTAATCTTGATTTAATGAACAAGGAGTTTCATTTATTTTCACTGAAGTCAGGGCTTGTGGTTATTAGCTTAGTGGGAAGACATATCAGTTTTCTTTAATTTTTAGCGGACGTAAAGTGGTATTTTGACATATCAGCAAATAGGCTCCCACGCTCCTTAATTGAAAATAAAGTCAGATTATTCTTTTCAACTGACCTATTACAAGTAGACCAACAAAAACGATAAGACTACGAAAACTAAGAATCAGAGTCGTAGACAATAAGACATTACTAGACACCACAAAGATACTTTAAAAGTAATCATAATATTGAAAGTCATAGTCTTGATAATTGATCGTTATGAAACTGATTTGAGTTCATACATGAGTGACAAACACAATATGAAATGGCAAAACTCCGAGTAATCTGACGGTCCGCCTCATATTTATGAAGACTGTAGTCGAAAATTATAGTAGGATTCACCACTAGTTCCAGTTGAGTTATATCCGGCAATAATTTAAACTATTAAGTCCCAATGTTTCTGAGACTTCAACTGAGAAGTCGTGATGAAATGATATATGTATTATAGTCTCAACTTATAACAACACGGTACAGTATTGAAGATCTATCCGTTCTTACCACCCAATCCCAGAATCGGGATATAATAAACAGTGTAAGTCTTTGAGATAACATTTGTAAGATATATATCGAAGAAACCAAAGTTAATGTTTCGAGAAGATAGTAAATGAACCGCAACCATCGCGTCCAAATACATTGTCCGACTTTGAGATTAGCAACACGGTGTTACCACGGGATATCAATCATTTATAGACGTCACGATACCAAAGACTGGCCTAATTAACATGAATTTTTTTTTAGCTTTTATTATACAAAGATTGATCTTAACTCCTACGCTACCACTAGCAGTCACTTAACTAGCCAAACAAAAGAATGTCCCGACTTTCTAATGACTTGTTATAAAGAGAAAGTGTACGGACAAGCACCTCACAGCCATCCAAAACGACTGTATTTGAGAGTACAAAGTACGTCCTGTACTTATGGTCACTAATTCTCAGATGGTTACATGCTATTCGGGTATCTTGATTATCAATACACAGTAAAAGCAATGATCACTACTGAATTACTATAGTTAGCGAAACCAAGTAACACATACACTTACACCACCTTCAGAATTTAGATAGCAGTACAAAGACCTATATTGAAACATCATTGTAGGTAAAACATAAGCCAAAGTAGTTGATCTTTATGAGAATTCCAAAAGTTTGATTTCCTAACAAAACTGATGTTTTCATAGTGAATTGTAAGTTTCATCGTAGAACATCTTTATGATTTCATCCCTTACTTCTAAGTTACTGAGACAATATTCTTAAAACCGGAATTGCGGTTCGATATATTCCCTCATTGTTGGGATCTGCCGTTTGTTAATCCTAAAACCGACATGTTCATTTGCTAATTTGATGTGTCTTAAGGAGAGTCCACGTGATTACTCGATTCATCCTTTTAAATCAGTGAAGGATTTTCACTAACTCCAGGCTAACATTTAAGTGACTGTAATGGTTCGTCACACCACGACATAATAGGTGTTGGTTTAATTTAAACCACGGCAGAGGTACAGAAATTTTAAGGTTTATGAAAATTCAAGAAACATACTTTGCTCTTCGTCGCAACACTTGGGCCATGAAGAAAAACATGGCTCTCCTGCATTGTCCCCCGAAATGCTGTTATTTGCAGCTACCTGATTCTCTTTAAACCTAATTTTGTGACAAATATGTCCATAAGATTGCTTGTCTAAGTTAGGATAATCTCCAGCGGAGGCCTGTATTAATCATAAGACAACATAACAAAGCCACAACTTACAGGACTGTGTGAAGAATGCTCCCCTGTAGGCATATCATTTTCCATTAACGGCACACAGATATCACGGTATGATGGGAGGGGGAGACTTTCCCCTATAAGCATAAGCAATTAATAAATTCAAGATACTGTTTCTGATTAGCTCATTTCTAGACACTGGAATTCCGCTCTGAGCGAGCGAAACGTACTTGAGTGCCGTGAAGAAATTTACCCGTCCCCACAAGCCATAGGGAAATGGATTTGATAATTGTACAATCTAGTCTCAAAATTATTACGAGATAATTACATCGTTTATCAAGACATCTGAAATAGCAAAGCGAGACAAAAACTTCTTCACACACTCCGTTGATAGCTTCCCACTTTTTTCGACGTCACAGCTATCGAAAGCACTGAAGTAGAAGTTGATTTCCGACTCCGACAACTTTAACGCTTCCATATGCCGTAACGTGACACTTAACTTTTCCGCAATGCTGTTTTGGACCACTACGATCGAATTATCAATATCAAGTGTCTCAATCACAAGCTTGTTTTGTCAAGGTCCTAGATAAATGGTAATTTCTAAGGTATGACAGTTTAACTACTCGAGTGGACTAATTCTAGTCTGTTCGGCAGTTGTTTGTTGATTTATACACTACGTAATGTAAATGCACTTTTCTCCTAATAGAAGGGTTTCTGGAGCCAGCAGCTACAAAATTATTAGGTAGGAAGTTGATTGATTGCAATTTGGGGAATAATATGGAAGTTCAAGTGTTAAGAGATGATTGTTTTAAGGAATATTAAATTAGTTAATTGATAATACAGACACTGTGAGAAGACAGAAACTTAAAAGTGGGAAACTGAGACAACAAAAAGAAACGCAGGAACATGTCGATTGTTTGTCGTAATGATAACAGTAAACAAATTAGGAGACATATCGGGGTGAAGACACCACAGGTATTTGGAGTTGGACAAAGCTTTAACTAGTAACACCTAATATGAATCGTACCCACCAAGTAAAATCAAAAGACAGAAGTGAGGAGGTTTGAAGATATATTTCATAGGCCATCAATATATCGAGGATTGTCTTATTTAATCTGGTTAGCGATCGCGGGGGTTGTTGAGCACGGCGTTCCCACTCGTGATCTGGTGCGGATGCATGGCCGAGCGCCTTCAGCTAGGTGAGTCCATTAAAACTAATATGGTCAGCATCCAATGTCGAAAACCTATAGAGCTTTTTATATTGGGGATTTATTTACCGCTACAGGGGACAGTCGTTTCGAGCGTGAGATGGTATTCTGTCAGTGAGCACTTGTTTATGAAGTCTTCTTTCGAGACCGTCTACTGAGGGGGATGTGTTCACCTCAGCTGGGAAAGCATCTTGAATGGTGGCAACTCTTGATAAGAAAGTATAGGAGCCAACCTGGGTTGTTGCTCTCTGATATACAATTTTCAGGAGTAACCTCGAGGAACGTGGTTGTGACGTTCTAGAAGGATGCACGTGTTTGGATGACCTGGCATACTTAATATATTAATGTCATAATCGAACCGCATATTATTACCCTATTGCTCGACGAGGGTAATCCCAATCGTTTGAATATGTCTATGTAGGTTTTTGCCATGGCCCTGTCACATACTTAGTTGCTCGTCTTTGTATTTGACCTACGAGATTTGCTATCTTAAAGAAACGTAACTTCTTAACATTCAAAACTTTAAGGTGAGGCTGCGCGTATGCTCTAAAATGACTGACCAATAATTCTGGGGTGACTTTGACAAGTTATCTTTGAATAAAATGAAGAATTTCATTTGTCTTAACTGCGGCTTCTGTGTATTTTAAGCTCGTATTGAAGCTTTCTAAGGTTGCTGGTCCGAGACTGACTTTGTGAGCGGATTTCCAAGGAGGAAACTTTTTGTGTCAAGTGGGACAGAATGTTCGTGACATGACATATCGACAGGTTGGGTTTTAACCCATTGTCTACTTTCCATCCCTTTATTGTTGTAAGGTTCGCTTGAAGCTCAATTCCATCTTTTTCGATTAATATGAACCTCCAGACCTGCATAGACATGTGAGCTGATTTAATTTTACCTAAAATGTCACTGTTAAAGGTTAAAAAACAGGAGTTCACGTTGGATTCGCTACTGTGAGACTACTTATATTGAGACTCACGAGTACCAGTACATTCTATATACCGTGGAACGAAACATCATGTTCCATGGGTAGGATAGAAGTCAAGATATACATGTCACTGAAACCCATCTTTTGAACCCTTGATGTGAGGAGCAAGCTTGATGCTGTGTCGAAGGCCTTTGGGACGTCGAACAATAATTTTTGGGGCCGGTATTTTTTAGTCTCAGCAGGTCGTCAGGCAGTTTCATGCTGTGAATACACAGGACCTGCCTTTCTTAGACCAGTGTTGGGTTTCATGGAGGATATAAATTTTGTCTTTGTGTTCCCTCGTTTGTTCACCGAGCAGTCCTTAAGTTGTTTTCGATGTGTAGATTACTAACGTAGATAAGCTCTGTCGAATGATTGGGGGCCTACTCGAGTTAGACAGGAATGGTGTGACGAATGAGCTAACTTCGAAATCACACCTCTCTGTCATCACCTAGAGTCGATTACCCTTTCTTTGTATAGATACTATGGCTGATTTGTAGACCGTATAACATAAAGGGTGTTATTACAGAAAAATTTATTAGTAAGATTAAGTACAATGAAGAGATAACGACCACCACCTCATGGGCTAGTCCATAGCAAGCGATTAATTGATGCGCATTGGTTGTCCTCGAGCCTAACAGCGATCGATGAACTATTCAACATTGTGATCCAATTGCCGGATGATTTATCTAGGGCTCGGTGACATTTCGCTGAACTAATATACGGCATTAGGAGTAGTGCGACTGGTTAATTGAGGGTTGCATCTTTTTTATCCCTCTCTTTGAAGACTGAAGAGAGAACAAACTGTTTCCGTTCTTTCAGCAGTTGATTTGATCATGATTAGTACCTCAAAGGTCAAACATTGTGGAAGCTTTCGTCCCTATAGGTAACCTTCGTTCTTTTGATAGAAGAAACCAGAATATTAGTGAAAAGGTCTTTATTTAGATCCTCGGTCAGTCACAGTGGAGCGTGGGATTACCTGTTCAAACACACAAAGCTTTGCAACATTCGATATAGGATAGTAGGAAATATAATGCCTATGCGAAATAAGGAATCGATTGAACCTTTGAGCTCTATTGTTTCGACATATACTTAATTGTTTGACGTCAACTCTTAACCAATCAATCTAATCTGTTACAAACTAATGGCTTCCGTGCACGGTTTCAGGACTGTAGGGCGGACATTTTTGCATCCCGCTGATGTTCCTGGACACAGGAATTTCAGTTTCTTAATATTTACCCAGCCATGGCTCAGAATATCGAAGTAGGCCATAATTCAACATTGATGAGATCGACTAAAGAAATGCAGCCTGTCATTCACTCTTACATTCACTTTGACTTAAGAGACTGATTTCAACTTGTGTTTACCTATTATTATATTTGTAGGTTGATGAGTGCTCATGCGGATTATAGTATTGTATTGTTGATTCGTACTCAGCTTACTGGCTCAATCGTTTTCAATAACTGATTATCAATATTTATGTTTAGCTATGATGATTCAATAACAAGCTTTAGTAGCACTTACATGCTTCAGTGAAATAGGTTTGTTAAAACATCAATCACTCACAAATATGTCTCTTAAACGATGAAGATACACATTGGCTATCAATTTAAGGAAAGACTGGATGGTTATGTGAATCCAATTCTCCATTTTTTCTCACTTGATATTGGATTTTATTCCAAACTATGGATTATCTTTTCTCTCGATCACTGACTGCATAATTACAATTTTCCAGTTCCATTGCCAAACAACGAAGACAATATTCCGAAAACGTGCAGTGAATCTGTAGAATTATGTTCTACTATGATATTAGTACTGCTCTAATAATAGAACTAATCTTATAATTGTAGATTTGTCATGATATAACTGCCTAGTCTGTAAGATCTTTCGTGAAAGTCACATCATCGTCCACGCCAACTCATTACATCGTCACATTTACCAATACATGATAGAGAACAAACTTAAGCTAGAGATAGAACAATATATTTAATATAAAAAAGATATAAGGTAACATTCGGCAGGGCCCACACCTGCATGGCCGAGCCATGCCATACGATCAACTCCAATTAATTCAACTCATTGTTCCCGCCTTTTCCATTGTTAGGTATCTCTCCGCGTTAAATATTGAATATTTATTTTCCGAATAGTCTCGTGTTCACATTTGAGGATTGTGAGATTATGGTCCGATGTCACTACAAATCTAAGTCGCAAAGTTTCTGCAATCCGAAGCTCATTTCAGAATAATCATACAATGACAGCCACGTATTTGTCTAGACTCTTGGATTTGTTATGAATCAACCAAGCAACAAAGTCAATATCACCACGCACATCCAGGAACTAGTTGCAATACTGCGCGTTCGATCTGATTTCTTTTCGATCTATGATTTGTCGCAATCGGTTTTTTACACGTCAAAAACATATGATGATCTAAATTCCGAGGGAAATGCAGGCGAGTTTCATTATTTCGCAGGATAATCTACCACGTTTTTGATACTTCCCAACATGAATATATTTTCACATGAACCACTATCCTAGCCATTCAGTCTGATCATATTTACAATTCACACTACCATACTACAAATTAGTCTCTGTCCTTTCTCATCATAGAGGTCACACAATTTTTTATTCTTAAACAGTGCACACATACATACACACAAATTTACGTACATATCACTTATGAATCATCTTGACAGAAATGACATGACATTAACTTGTTCAGACCTGTTTTTGATTGATCAAATATTATTCTTATTGTTCCGTTGGATAATTTAAACTTGGATTAATTTTAATTTGGTTATTTATTCTCTGAAGAAGTGATTTACACTATGTGATGAAACGTCAGAAAATCTAATTTTCTACTCATCGGGATATTACAAATATATTATTTATTTACACTCCCCAAACCGTTGTTGGCGTAAGATATATTTAACTTCAAGGAAAAACGTACTGCTATGAGAAAGCGTGTTGTTCTTAGGGGGACCATATTAGATTGAATATTAATTTAAGACTTCCTAGTTTTGATCAACGTTGCTATATAATCATGAAGTTACTAGGCTAACTAGAGCGACATCTGCATTATAACCCGTCGTATTCCTAACTGTAGTCCTATAAGTTGTGTCTCAACTTTTAAATCTTTTTCCGCCAAATTTTTTATTGTTATATTTCTCATAAATATACATGTTCATCTAGGTTATACATGCATTGGGCTATATCACCTCTATGCTATTTAAATTTACCACGTATCTGAACCACCTTTAACAATATCCACCAAACCCATAATAGTACTTATTGCTATGTGTATTCGGGTTTATTAATTAGGCTACCACATTAGTTGC